TGCATCGTTGGAGCCTGGCGCGGTCTCGCCACCGCGCGGACCAAGCACGTGTGTGTGTGTGTGTTTCTCCGAGTCTTTAGTGTGTATAGGTTTGGTGTGCTTTCGGCGAAGGAAAGACAGTGCAACCACCACTTTATGACACTTTGTTTGCCTGCCATGCATCCAATACTGAGTCTCAGCATCGAGAAGGATGCTTGGGCGCTTGGCTTTTGGATTGTATTGCTCGATTTTGCGCCGCCCTCAAAATTGCGTCCGTCTGAAAATGATCGCCATCATATTCAGTATGACTGTGCAAAGCATGAATGTCTTCGTTAGGGGTCTTCCAACTCTACGTTTCCCAATATGTTTGGGCTCGGCGCTGTGTTGTTGATACGGATACCTATCTATAAGGGGATCGTGATTGGGGGCCCCCAATATAAATATTATATGTCCAGCCAAACGAACTCGCTTCTCATCCAAATCCATCGGGTCTGGGTCTTACTCTTCCATTCGGATCATGCGGATCATGGCTTTACTCGGTCTCAGCAAGTTCGAAGACCCTGTCGTTCGTGCACCGTCGGTCAATATAAGTGAACTTGACCGTGCACCCACGTAGGTTGGGTTAAGCCTCCATTTTTCTGACGTATGGCCAACGAGTGAGGAACACAGGAACACCAGAGTATATAGCAGCTTGGCCTTAATTACAGCATCATATATGACCAGTTGCCATTTCTTACTGCATACATTGGAAGAAAAAACACTAAACGCTTCCAAGTTGACATTGCATCTTGGATTCGTTGAGTAATTTATCTTCTAAGGTTTACTGTATGGTTTAAGTTGTTCCCCAAGTATGTAGCATCTTGCGCTCTATCTAGAACAGTACCATCGGCAAAATGGATGTGTGCATCACGGTGCATATTCATGGAATGGCAGTTAAGTTTCAAACCATAATGTCCAGAACATTCCTCCATATGTTTCAGAATTTAATTCAATCCACTTGGGGAAGTTGAAAAGAGAATTGTATCGTCTGCGTAGTACACCGCACCGAAGTCAACCCCGGGATTCTTGAGTTTGCACCGTAACCAGAGCTGCGGGACCTAACATCGTAATCAACACACGTCATGACACTCCCCGCAACAATCATGGAAGTGGAACAGTCCGCCCCTGGTTTCGACCATTTTCCTCTACAAGAGGGCAAATGGTCGGCTTGCATGATTGTTGGAGGGAGGGTAATGGCCTCGGTGTTGGAGTGAGTAACTTCGTCGAACTTCGGACCTTCAAGGCGACCTTTTGAAATCTCCAAAGAGGTCACTGAGACCCTAAAGAGGCCACTTAGAGACTCCAAAGAGGTCACTTTGAAGGTCCTGGCGCACATCTGCCCCCGAGTGGCACTGAGCGAGGCAGTCGTTCAGAGTGCCATCGCCCGTGTTGGTGCCAGAGTCCTGATTCCTGCAATAGCGAGTTGCAGTGCATGCCTGGGTGGTGGGCGTGGCATGGCGTGGGGGACAGGAGGACACGAGCTTTTGATGAACCTTAAGCGGTCAGGCCAAGTCTGAAAATGGGCGACGGTGATAGATGTGATTCATGTGATAGATGGAGATGTGATAGCTATATACATTCTAGCACCATCAAGACCCAGACAGTGCAGCTATGCCAGCTGTGCCCACACAGCAACTGTCTAGGTGAACCCCGCGCAGCATTTTGTCAATAAACCTTTCACCATGGGCCTCATGCAGATTCGCCCTGGCAGCGTCAACTGAAGATGAGTTGCTTCCAAATTGGCCAACCGACATATCCTAACTCACTTGACATGTGCATAGAACTCCTATATGCGCATTGATCCGTCCAAGCACATGCAGGACAAGAAACCACACACCAATGTGCACTGATTCAGGGGAAATCTCTCCAAAGGCCCCTCGCAAAAGAAGAATTGATGTAAAATCCAGTGGGTGGAGGGTTGAGGGTGGAGTCGCCAATTTTGGCTGGAGTAGCATCACAGTCATCATGAATGTCTTCCCTCTTTTTTCTGTGTGTGTAGGTCTCTGGGCTGGAGCGGTGTGGTGTTGCACCACTTAGCCGGTGCTGGCTCACACTTCAACTCCTAAAATCTGGATCTACACGCGAAATTGACCAGAGTTGCAGGGCTTCAAGGCACTGAAGAAGCACAAATCCATACCACTTCCGATTCTACAGTTCAAGGAACCCCTCCGAGGTCCTAGTGCCACTTCCTCCTGCCCAGTCGCATACTCGCCGCTATCCACGGTGAAGGGGAAGCATTGGCCCAGCACTGTGGTCGTGCTCGTGGTGGTCGTCGCTGCTGTGTCGACCCAATTGAGGTCGCGATAGTAGACACTACTCTGACAGCCAGACCTTGGGAATTCTTCACCCTGACCTGGGGAGGCCTGCGGGGAAGGCCTGGAGACTAAACCAGCGGCTCCTTCCTGACTGGACCCGACGCGACGCGACTGGACCAGGTCCGGTCTGGACAGTTGAAGTGTTGGAGGTGCCTTCGTCATTCGCATGCGGAGCTCCGCACGTTCGCCTCCCGCGGCCGTGCCCCTAAAAAACGAACTCTGTGGCCATCGAACGAAGGGTTGGTTCGGGAACGGGGTCCCCACGACGAAACCGACCGCTGGAAGCAATGCCCGAAAAGGGGGGGTCATAGAAATGTCCCTGTGTGCTATAATAACCTGAATGCTCTGACGAACGAGGACACGGCCATTTTCGGGAACATGTTTGTGTATATGTTTGGACTCCACTAAGGACAAGCATAGTCACACTGGACGACCCTAGAAGTCACAGAATGTCCAGGACGATTCCGGGAGGCTTTGTCACTCCGTCTTCGCTACCGGGAGGCTCCGTCTCGCTACCGCAGTTATCCAGAAGCCAGCAGTGAGTGCCACAGTCGTACTGGATCACTTTACAGTTGCGGCTCTTGCATTCGTCCATGCACGCCTGGGATGAGAGGAAACACATCGAACCCCCGTTCAAAAGAGAGCCCAGGGGCCCAGATGTTTGTGTCCTCCCAATATCCCTCAAAATCAACTCCAAGAGAGAGAGACTGCAAGACATCGGGGCGGAACTTCGTCAAGTTACTGGTGCCCGTTGAAGTTACTACATGTCGCATGTGGGATACTAAACCACCATGGAACGCCGATGTGCAAAAGTCAGCACTTAAGTAGATCTTCGTCACTTGTGACTGCACTTTTTGGGGGGACGGCGATCTCATTTCCCGCTCACCTCACCTGCAAGCTCATGGCAGCGGGCAACTGGGTGGCATAGTCCTGTCTGGAGCAGTACCTGTTGCTGACCTCACACGGCCAACGGTATGCGGCGGTCAGACCTTCACGAGTCATGGCCGGCGTTCGAGAACCCGTGCAAAGCTGTTAACGGGTTGAAGTGGGGTGGCTCAAGGGCATCAACCGACCATCCCTAACTCAAGCACATGGCCTTCTACTATCCGGTGTAGGCTTGAGAAGGCCATGTGCCTTCTCCATGGCCTTCTCAGCGTCCCACATGAATCTCAGCGCCCAGCACGCGAGCTCCTCGAAATCGTGCTCCGGAAAGCCCCACAGCGCGGGCCATCGTGAGCCCCCAGGAGCCGCGGCCCAAAGCGGGCGCCGTGGGGACTTCGTCCCAACGGCAAACGTCTTCCGAAATTTGACCCCTGATTTCATGGAAAAAACGAACATGTTTGGGGGTGGCTGGTGGTCCCGGTCACTCAATATTCTAGGTACATCTAACTCCCCAACCGGGTGCTGGCTTTTTTCCCTCCCCAATGACCCGGTGACTGGCCGAAGGGACGCAGGTGTACTCCCCGGTGTCTGTCGCCGAGCTGTCGGGATAGCAGGTTTGGGGCTCGTCGCAGCCCTCCAGGCTGAGGGCCAGCAGGCTTAGAACCTCGAGGTCGGCTGGCGATGCTCTTTGGAGTTTGCCAGGAAAGGCTTGGATGTTAATGTTCAATGGTTTCCTTGGCCCGCAGTCACAAGATGGTGCATAGGCGTGCATATATTCACCAAAGATCGCCACTAAAGGCGCCCTTAGGCTGTCTGGAAGACCTACTTACCATGTGTTCAGTTCAATCGGGCTTGGGTAGGTCAAACGGCAACACTATCTTCAGAATCCCATTAGTGAGGGAATGGCTCAGCAGCACTGCCCTGAACATCGCCTTGCTTCATGGAGCTTGCTTCGCCTTATCAAAGGGACTGATCGCAAGCCAAAAAGCACCGAAACCCTCCGCATCAAGCATGGACCTCCAACCTCGTGGCCAGACCTCCATCGACCAAGAGTCGTCCGTCCGGCACGGAGGGAGCGCGCGCTCGGAGGGATCGCGTGGCCGGTTTCCCACGTGGCGTTCGAAACCGGTCGTGGCGTGCTCAACCGGTCCAACAGGAGCTTCGCCGCTCGGAAGGGGTCACGCCTTCACTCCGCGCCAGTCAGGGTCAACCCTGCTTCACTCCGTGTCATCCAGGCCTGTTGCTGTGCCAAGGAGCCACACCCAGAACCGAGTTCCTCCGCCATCTCGGCCGTACCATGGCACGAAGCCGGGGGCCCGGTGGGCGAACTGGAAGGCCAGGCCGTTGGAGTCAGACCGATGGGATTTGAGGCAACTGGCCTTCTCATCGGGTGGGTGTTTGCGCAAAGACAATTCGGCGGTGTTTTGGCTGGTTTGGACGATGAAGTTCGAAGAATATCACGAGAACAAAAAAAGAACTCCCCACCTCACGGGTGAACAGGGACAGAAGTGACCTCCTTCAATCCTCGCTTGTGTCTGTGTGGGGTTCGGTTGGAATGTTCATGAATGTTCGCCTTCTATGAGGCTGCCATGGTCAGGAACTGAGCCCAAACACCACGAATTTGGGCCAACTTGGTGGGGTGTCCCCTAAATCCCCTCAAAACGAGTAGCCGAGTAGCCTCTTGTTATTGCAGCTCCTCCACTTTTTGCGGGGAAATATGCCCCTGGATTGCCCAGCCCTTCATCACCCGACCCCTTGACTTGACCGTCCCATCAGGCTTCGCACATGTTCTTCCACCTCCTTCGCTTCGCTCGGCTTCTTGGTCTTGGCTCCTGCCGGGTCCCGCCCATGTCGCGGGGTCGCCCAAGCGGTCCAAGCCGCCGCCCCTGCCACGCGGTCGGCTTCTCCAGTCCTTTCTTCATAAAGATCGCGAAGAGGACCTCTTCAGCAGCGCTGGCCGCTGGCCCGGCACGGCTGGGCCAAACGGTGCTGCTGTTGTTTGGGTTGGTTGGTGAGGATTCATGAACCAATGAAAGCGAGGCCTGGTAATTAGTCAAGAAGGGCTGAGACATGGGTCTCCGAGACATGGGTCTCGTCCATCCCCCCCTCCGTCTCTGTCTCCGTCCCTCTGTCTCTCTACCCGCTTCATCGGTGTCGCGCCTTGAGCCCAAGCTTCTCGACAAAGATCTGACCTCGAAAGCTGAGGTGGACTTACCCTTGCCGGCCCTAGCCTGAGGTAGATGACCCAAAATGCCCCTCAAATCCCGCAAACCCATGGAAGTCGTGGCCACGGTGGTCCGCTTCCCATGCTTCTGAGTCGGACATCTGGGGCTCATTGAGCTGAATTTGACAGGTCCTTTCTTCTAACGTGGTGTCATCCACCTGCGTGTCGCTTCGTGCGCACGCTAAGCTGCTTGTGGCCTGTGGCCAGGTGCCAGTTTACACATTTTAACGTTGCTGGTTGGAAGTGACCGGAGGATTGCATCAACGACGTGCCAAAACGCAGCTCTACACCCCGAACACCCCGCCCTACCAGAAATCAGAATGAGTTCTTCCAGCTCCAGGTGTGGGACGTGTGGGAGGCTTGATGATGCATCAAAACAACTACATGGAATGACGTCATAAAGTGAGTACTCCAACTCACTTGTGTCATGGAAATGGACGAAGAATCGTTTTTTCAAGGAAGAATGGTCTTCCAAAGTTCGTGAGTCGGGTCATGTCATTCCCGAACCGTCTGCGACTGCCGGTGGAGGCCCGTGCTGCTGACCCTTCGGATGGGAGTTTCTCACTGGTTTGTCGGTCTGAAAACATGTCCAGCCAATCAGATTTGTCCAACATCCTGAAGAACCAATATCCTGAAAGAATGTTTCCTCACATCTCCCGTCCCAGCCCTACTCCTTTGCTGGGAACTCGCCGTAACTCGCATTCTCGCTCAGACCCAAATAGAAAACACAGATCTCCCCCCCCCCCCCCACCACTTGCGCATGACGCACCATGACGCATCTAGGTGCACCGGAGGAGGGTCCACATCTCTCCCCCCAACCACTCACTGAGTTCGCGTTGGGGATCCAAGGGGCAATTCTCGGGGCAGTGCCGTAAGGAATGGTCCACCAGCTTCAACGCCAAGGTGGCGGCAAAGACCTGCCATGGCGGTAGGTCACCAGTCAGCAGACTAAGGAATGGGTCATGGGACTAGTTCAGTTGGGTGTCTGGGAGGGACGTTTGGTGTCTGGGACGTTGCTGCAACGTGAGAGGACACCGAATAACAAAAATAGAACTGTCCGAAGAACTTATCCTATTCGTATGTTTGCACCATCCTATGTAACCAAAAATAACAAAAAATAGAAAAACAATAAAAACTTCACAAAGTACAAGGATGGTCTTTCACCACATGGTGCACTGGTCGGGGCGGGCTCCAGGTGGCTCCACGATCCATGCCCACCTTCTCCCGCATCATCCGGATCATTAACTCAAGCCTTGGTGACATTCAGCCGTGTGGTGACTCGTGGGATGTCACCCCTTGTGGTCGTTGGAAGAGGGGAGTTCGAAGCCTCCAGCGGGTGCCCATGTTGCTGAATGGAGGATAGGGGCTGCCCAGCACATCCATCCCCCTTTGAACATGGGTCCTTGACAGTAAAAATATCTCCGACATGGAACTCCTGTGTGCTATCCATGGAGGTTAGGGGTGCCCATTATCCACTCACTTAGGGACTAAACACCACCCCTTTCTCCTGGATGATTGCTTTTCCTTTTGGAAGGTCATTCACCTTGAGCTGGGGCCACCCTTGGGACAAGTTTGCGACGAGGAGGTGGGGTGGATGTATTCCTGCAAGAAAGCCTCCGATCGGCAAAATGGAGGCTAAAATAGGCTAGAATATCTTGAGCCAGGCTCCACACGTTGAAACCTGGATTGGAGCATTGGACCCCGAAGTCGTGAATTTCCTGGGGGGAGGCAACTTGGGAGGCAAGAACTTCAAGTCCAAAATGATGAAGCTCCTACTTGTCCAAAGCACTGCCAATAGCAGCCACACCTGGATCATCCTGGATCTAAGCCACGCCATGCGTCCCTAAAGCACGCCATTGAGGGACCTCCACCCAATTGGATGCAAGTAAAGCATTGTAAAGTCGTCTTTTTCTGACTGGTGCTTAGTAGAGAATGGTGGAATGGATCCTAAGGTATCTAGTGCGGAGGGGCATTCCCTCATTCCCTACGAGTCGCACTTCTTTGCCTCCTCTCAGGTCAGTTGGGCCAGTTCTGGTACGTGAATTCACCTGTTCAAAGAACATAAGTCAATTTCTGGCCAAAGAGCGGGTGGCTTCAGCTCCTCAAGATGCCCTGCCCTGCTCTGAACAAGTTCCAGTTCCCCAATTAGCTCCAAGCGTCCCCTGCAAGTTTCCAAAGGCGATCTGGTTGGCCTTCAGCAACATCAAGGAGCAAATGCAGTCGAACATGTTTTGCACGTACTCCGCTTCCTCCCAGGCGACGAGCAGCTAACAAACGACATCACCCCAACAAACCGGCCTCGCCAGCAACAGTGCACAAAACAGTGGTCCACAAGGAATGCTCAAACATGTCCAAGCACGTGCTGGGTATTGGTATGTGTTCCTCTTTTTCATGCTACCGACCTCCTTCTTGGAAGCGAACCCCGACCCGTCACCCTGGAGTCCAACGGAGCTGGCTGTCAGACCTCGCTGTCCGCGGGGTCGCGCTTGCGGTAGGCGGCGATGCCGCGAAGGAGCTTGTCCACGCCTTCCAGCTTCACCATCCTCGGCGATGCAGCGGAAGCACGGTCGGAGCTCCGCGCGCAGGCGAGCGAGCGTGTTCTTCACCCTGTTGGTTCGTTTCAAACGCTCGAATCCACCCATGGTCAGACTCAAAACGCTACCAAAAAGTCCTTCCTGGTTACAATCTCTCACACCCTCCGCTTTCCCCCAAAAAAAGGGATCAAACGGTCCGACGTCTGGCCCCGGTCTCCCACACCCACACCGAGCAGCTCCTCTCTGGCGCGCTCCGAGTTTTGAAGCATGATGCCCAGGATCTCAGAGGAGTAGACCTACACCACCCGACGAGACGCGTCTCGGTCCTCCGGTCGCTCCGGGACCACCACGACGCGACGGAGCGGTCCCTACGTAAAAAGGAAGAAGAGGCCCGGCCGTGGTGGGATCAGGTCCACAGGTGTCGACCCAACCGTAGTGCTTCGTCAAATAAAGAGCGTGGTCAGCATGCAGAATTCGGGCGGAATGGTGCGGTTTTTCTGGCCCATCGAGCGAGATCCGCCTTGTTGTAGTCCATCCCCTGGGCTCGCAAGCGCTTAATCAGCCTGGGACGGCAAAAGGAACAAGTCGGACAAGTGCTGATTTTGGATGCACAGACAGCGCGGTTCTGCTCACTTTGGAGGTTGCAAAGGGCTGCGGGGTCGACATGTTCTTTACAACCTGCACATGTAGGTGATGGCTTGCTTATGCAAACAGGGACCCACAAGTTCACGGACAGCACGGCACAAGAAGATTCACCCCCTAAATCTGGGGCTGTCCACACCCAACAACGGAACCGGAAAATGAATGGCCAGGTCTTTTTCGTGCAGCATATCCTCACAGCACTCTGATCCTTTCAGTCTTCGAGCGACCAGGGCAGAAAGTTGGGGATCTCCAGGAACTGTCGACATGTCTCTTGAGGCATGAGGTCCTCAGCGAGCGATCAACTGCTGCTCCAGCTGCAAGCTGGATGTAACTTTGACACACTTTGGATGGAACGGATCCTTTTTCGCAGATGGTAGCTACATTGCCACAGGGCTGATGAGGGATGGGATGGGATTCGTTGGGTCTCATGACTCTAAAAGGCTCAGAAGGAGCCAAATCCTGAAGAAAACATCTCAATCTGCTGCCTCGTCATCACTGGTGGCTTCGTCCATCTCTTCAACCAATTGGTGCTTATGGTGAATACCAACCAGCTTTGGGGTGAAGGGGGGGGCTGCCCGGACCGCGAATTGGATCCGCCCACCCCAAAACGCCCAGTGTCGACGCCCGCGGAGAGTCGGGTCGGCACGACCCACCGCCACCGGCACCGACCCGTTTTCGGCACCGCCACGGGCGGTCAAGGCTCCGCCAGGTTTTCGATCATGCTTAAGCCATTCGTCACCGCCTCGCGGCGGAATGGCGATGGGGCGATTTGAGGGTGGGGTGAAAACCGAAACCCGTCTTCCGCGACATGGACCGTGGGCGTGCCCGCGTGAACAATGAGTGCGTATACCACCTCTCATTTAGAACAGCTCCTACCACACGAATCATGGTTTTTCAGTCTCTTTCAGATTTCAATCAGCTGCCCAGGCAAAAAGGGCGGCCATGCCTTGAAGTCTTCATCGCTCACCGTCTCATCGATACGCATGAGCACATCCACCGTCATCTGGCAGAGCTGCGCATCGAAGACGGCCTGGCAGGTGGTTCAGCTCAGCAGTGGATAGGGGAAAGTAATTCAGACTGCTGATTGAAATTAAAAAGATACTATATAAGAGGTGTCCATTCCAAATGGGGGGGCTCAGCAATCAACAGTCTACGTTACGTTAGCTCAGCGGTGTCCCGATGACCGTCGCGTTCCGGCTCGTCATCGATGCCTTCACGAAGACTTCCGGCTCGTCCACTTCGCCTTGGCAGCGCTTGCCCTTCGCTCCAAAACCTTGTAATGTGACTGACAGCGCCGACTCTTGAACGAGCGCAGGCCCTTCAGACTTCCACTTCCTTCCATCACCGTCCCGCATCTTGAAAAACTCATCATATACCCAAAGGCGTCATACCATGCACTTGCAAAGACCCCTTCAACAGGACATCTCTACAGTGACCTCTTCAACTTGCCCTGTTTCCACCCCCACCCGCCCGCCCTGTTCCGGCCCGCTCTACCGAAACCCACATCCGACGCGTGTTCCGCCGCCGGGTAGCTCAAGACCTCGGGGTCCGTGAGTTCGCTCAAGACCTCAAAGATGTCCACGGCGATGTCGGTGTTCACGTGGTTCAGCATCCCCACCTGGGGTGTTTCTCTTCTTTTTCTCCGGAAATTCGGTGGGGAAAAACGAGCAAAAAGTCAATGATGTATGTTCTCCCTGGGAGTCCAGTCGACCATGTTTAAAACGGTCTTTAGATGATCCGAAAAGGAACTTCCTTTACTTGGGTGGTGCCTAAAAATAGTCTTTGGACTTCTATTGCCTTGGACTTCCATTTTGTATATATATATATGAATCATTAATCACCTAACAAACAGCCATCCTCCGCCGCGTGAAGACGCCGCCGGGGGCCGCTGGGGCGAAGCAAAGCGACGCTTTTGGGCCCGAGGGGGTTCGGGGAGAACGGGCGAGCTTCGAGGTCTTGGACTGACCGATCGGCTCCGACTTGGGAGGACCTAAGAGGTTGGGCCTAAGAAGAAATATAGACCCCCCAAGTAGATGGAAAAGGTACAGTAGATGCCCCACATGGAAAACAGGTGTTGGAAATTCGTACCACTAATCTATTTGGGGACCATCTTCACGTGACCGCCTTCACACGTAGGAACCAAAAAAGGAACGCGGAAGGAACGCACGGTCACCGCACCGTACGGTGCACGGTCCAAACGGGACTCAGCGGTGGGGAGGCTGGAGAAGCACTGAGTTCGTTGAGGTGGAGGTGGGACCGAAGCTCCTGAAGGAGCCTAACCTGGGGGTAGCTGTGGGGGTAGCTGTGGGTAGGTGGAGCAGGGGGGAACATGTATGGCAAAGCTCACATGGCGATTGAAAGAGACTCGGACAAGGAATACACCCACAAAACGTGGAAACCGTTAGTCCCATCCACCCAATGATGCGACTCAAGCTGCAATGGCGGCGGGTGCTGGAAATAGAGGGAGTCATCAGCGGTTGGGGTTCATTCTTCTACTCCAAAGTGCTAGAAGAAACTACAGTACTTCTTCCCGCAAACGGACCACATGGAACCCGAGAATGGACCGTTTCGAGCATGTTCCGAAGCCCAACCCGAGAATGTGTGCCACGTGGGTGCCAGGTGCCACGGGTGCCACGTGGTCCGGTTTTATATATGTGCAGCTTCAGGCACCAGTAGCGGCAATGTCTCCAACTTCAGGAGTGATCCGTACAGCTCCGGGTGAGTGGCCACTAGGGTGAACCTCACTGAAAGGAGATGGTCAAAAAAGTTGGTGAAGGGTGGTGAGGGGGCAATTGAACTGATCAGAATTGGATGTGCATGTTTTCCTTGGAGACCCGCCAGCCAAAACTTGCTGCAAGAAGGAAACTAAACTCGACCAGACCGGTCTGCCCATTGGGCTGAAAATCGAGAATTGGAGGCAGGATTTGCTTCGAATTGGCTCCCAGTGCCTTCCTCCAATCATATCCAACCCCTCCCAACTAGGCCATTCCACTTCTTGATCTCCTCATCCAAGTCCACCTCGCTTTTGAGAAACTTGTCCGGATCATCAGCGTGCCTCGGTGACGATGTTCTTCTCAGATCTCTTTCTTTTCACCATCTTCTGCTGAGGCCCAAGATAATTAGGGTGTTTTTGAGAGGCTCCCCAAGAGCCTTTTGCAACCCATCCCATATGTACCACTACAGGGTCCTATAAGGTCTCTCAACCTCTCTTGAGTCCCTCTCTTGGTCAACCCCGCATCTGGAAGGCTCATCCGACGCATCCGAGACACTTGCTCAAGGCTTGCACCAACAAGCCTTGTCCCCAGGAAATCGGTGTGACGGCGCAACTGCAGTCAAGCTGCTTGATTCGAAGCTCACGATTCACCTTGACCTTGCGCTCAAACTGCAGGTGCATGCGCTTTAAGGAGGCCTCGTTTAAGGTTTCGACCTCAAGCCAGGCAGAGATGCAAAGCACTCTGAATAAGCAAAATAAAGGACATGAGCTTCTTGAGAGGCATTGGCTGACAGTTGCACACATGCAAGGTGTGGCTGTTCGAATTCGCCTCCATGTTTCTGATCTTCTACCAGCCATGGAGCCCATACCTTCCACGAGTTCTCTGGGGCGCCCAGCATGCAACTCCTAGGCCGCCGGGCGCGGCAAGAGCCGAGCACGCGAGCTGAGCACTGTCACATGCACCGGAACGCCCGCGAGTGCAGCGGTGACATGCATCCTCAAAAAAGGTGTACAAAACCTGTGCAGCTTCAAAAAAGGGTAACACATCAGGGTGAGGATGATGATGCCTTAGTTCTTCCAAGGCACATCTGCCTTGTCCAGCATTTGTTGAATGTCTTCCTTGGACACCTCATCTGGCAAGTCGTCCCCAAGCCTCAGCAACACAGGGTTTTTGCATCCCGGAAGTCTCCAGAAGGAATCTGAAAGAATCATTCACTCCGTGCTTTGCCACGGATTCTAGTAAGAAATAAGGGTCCAAAAATGACGCCCTGGCCCTGTCCAAAAAGCGTTAAATGACCGCCCTTATACACAGAGGATCCCTGCAGCACGTTTCATGTCAAAAGGGGCAGGGCCTTCTAAGCGTGGCATGACACAAAGCTAAACCTCGGACCTGCTAAACCTTCCATGCAATGCGAACCAAGTTCTTGGAACCAATTCCATGTAGGTTAGGTGCTATCCATGGACGATAGGCCGCCCCGGCCTCGCCAAGTCGGAGGCGTCTTGTCAACACCACGCCGTGAAGCAGAGTGTGAGACCTTTCGACCTTTGAAAGGGTGTTCGACCTTTGAAAGGGTCGAAGGTCCATTCTCCAGACTTCCAGGTCCCTTTTCGGTCGTTGGAAAGGAGGGTCGCCTCCAAAATAGGTCGGTCTTTCGGGAAGACGAACCCGGGGCCCCTCTTAAGGCGACCATGGTCGTTTTTTCCGAACATGCCTACGGTAGGACCTAAGTATCATCTCCCAAACGAACGCTGCAAGGTGATCAAACGTGCCTTGGCCAGGGACACGCTTTTGAGGGAAGTATCATCTCCCAAATTCTTGGCCATTGACCTTGGCCAAGCATTGGCACCACAACAAGGGAAAGAAACACATCGTGCCCTTGATTCTCAAGTCAGTCAAGTCGTGATCCTTCGAAGGTCAGAACCCCACATCCAATCCAAAAAAGAATGGAGGAGGGTGCAGATGTGCACGGTCAGCCCCTCCGGTAAGCCTCCGCACCTGCCCCACCAATCACCTCCCAGCAGCTCAATGCGCTTCGGCGCCGGTTCATCCGCCGGCGGCGCCACCGCGGCCTTCCTCTTGGCAGGCACCGGCGGTGGGCGCATCGCGCCGTCCATGGCCTCAGCCATCGAAGCGGTCAGAGGCCAAAGCACCTGGTCCGATCGGAAGGCCATCCAGGCATGGTGTGTTTATGTGTTCAAAAGAGGTGTTGACAGAACAGCAGGGGAACAAAAATGGAATGAGCCAGGAACGGTGATGAAAATGGACACCCCCTAACCTCTGAAGGCACATTGAATGGACACCCCTTCAAGGGGGGGGGGCCTCAAGGATGTTGGTCGCCTCAACGGCGCCCAAAAGGAGCAGCCAGGTGCCTGGAGGCATCGCAAAACTCCTCGTGCATGTGTCCAGATTTCGCAAAAAACGACTTGCACTTCTTGGCCAAGTGAGGGCTCGATCTTGCCAACTCACAATGCGCAGCATGACCCACAGCATGACTCGCTTTTTCAGCCTGTTGCTTGAAATTCTTTGCCCAGGCGTGACGCCAAGAATGCCTCTGGTGTCCCAAGACGACCAAGAAATTCACGTTTCCACACCGGAGAATCTTTCTAAAGAATTCGCCACAGACGCCGGGCGAAAAATGTCGTTTCAACACCACAGCAACCACGAGTCGAGTCGATCAGTCGATCTGGAGATGTTCAAATGACGAGTCGATGTTCAAATGGAAGTATAGGCCCTTGTCTCGGCAGGCAATTGACTGCACAAGGAGGGAATCCCATGCCAATGTTCGTCATGTTGGCCTCCAAACTCCAACTCCCCAGATACACCATGAGCCACCAGCAGTTCCATGTTGGGGTGCGATCCATGGAGGTTTGGGGTGCCCAGATACTCCACTCACTGCGTGGGACTATACACCACGCCTGACAGCTTAAATTTGGTTAAAGTGATATATCATGTAACTTTATCGGGTGAGGTTAGAATTGATTAATCAATTCCGGCAAGGGGAGATTTCTCCTCGGACAGTACCAGCAGAACTCTTGCTGCTGATGTCAAATCAAAAGAAGCGCCTCATATTCCTGGATGATCAGCCAACTATCCTATGAAAAGACTCCGTAACAGCAAAAACACATGACCCATGCGGTATTATAACCACAACTGTATCATTAAATAAATAAATAAATATATATATATATATATCTATCGTATAGTGATACAATGTGATACATGTCTCACCTTCACGGGTCACAAGAAGACCATCAACACCCAGGTGGGGGCCCAACCAACGAGAACCCCTATAGCCCAGCTCCCCACGCGGTGAAAACCGTGGGGTCAGGCCATGCTCAGCGACGCTCGGCCTCTCAGAACTGCTTCTCGGTGACGCCAGCGGACATGATGCCGGTGGAGGAGAGCCCGCCGCTGACAATGTTGCCTGGTGACAGGTGTGGTGACAGCAGCTGTGACAGCAAGTGGGACTGAATGCATGATGAAAATCCAAGACATATCTCATAGGTGTACATATATATATATAATTAGATAGATTAACAAATCTATATATATATGTGTGTGTGTGTGTCTTTGTGTGTGTGTGTGTCTCTGTGTGTGTGTGTGTGTGTCTCTCTCTCTCTCTCTCGCTCTCTCTCTCTCTTTTTCTGTGCAGCAGTCCAGCACTGACGGCGTGTGTGCGTCATCATTCATCACAACACCGTCATCTCAGATTCAAGTGCCTAAAACTGCATAGCTAGACCTGGACCCAGACTCCCTGACAGTCCCTATAAGGCTACGGAATGCAAACTGGGCCGCCAACCCATCTCGTCCACGATTTCAGATCCACTCCACTTCTGGTGGGTCAGGGTCTCCACCTTGTGCTTGCGCTCCTCACGCTGGATCATCTGCACATAGGCAGCGGCGCCACGCTTGCTGTACTCCTTGGCGAAGAGGTCAATGTTGAGCGCATCGCAGTGGAAGCCAGCCAAAGTGATGAACTGCCAGCAGAAGCCGAGCTTGGCAAGATCCCAGATGAAAGACTCCATCTGCCCATCAGTCATCCCAGCACTGTCCCAGTTGAAAGATGGGCTCAGGTTGTATGCAAGCATCTGGTGAGGCACAGCAGCGCGCACTTCTTTGGCAAACTGAGTGGCCTGCGCAAGAATGGGCTTTCCGGTCTCCATCCAAATGCTGTCAGCATACGGTGCAAATGCAATGGCACGCTCGATGCAGAACTCAGTGGAGCCCTTGATACGGAAGTAGCCCTCAACAGAGCGGGCAGAATCCCAGTCAAAGAAAATGTCGCAGCCCATGCCTGCTGCGGCCTTTCGCATCTGATCCAAGGACATCTTGCGTGCATCTTGGAGCCACTTTGCAGGGTCCTGGCCCTTGGCTTTCAAAGCCTTGGCCACAGCATCGGGGAAAGTCATGCAGCCAGACCTCTCTTCCCAATCCTTGTCGGTGCCCTTCCTCATGGCCTCGTACAACGGCTCAACGCCCTTGACGGTGACACCCTTGATATGTGTGGATGATCAACCGGATCCTGAGCAACTCGACCGTTCGAGTGAACAGCTCCGACGCATGGAACACCAACGAATGGCGACACGACTAGTCGTTCGTGGTAAGGAATCGATGCACTGAGAGCAAACCGTAGGCACCAACACGGGCAGAAAAGGACTGAGGTTCTAAGGCAAGAGCCACCAAGAAAATGGCCAACAAAGCAAGCACAGATGCAAGAGACAGAAATAGAATACATTCCACACCCTCCTCCTGCCCTAAGGATCCTTGGACCCTCCTTAGAAGGGGTCGAACCACCTGTTACAACAAGGGTTTGTACCCTCATGTACCCTCAAAACTCTTGTTTTTGAGGGTGCGGATCCTTAGGGTGGCAAAAATAATCTCTTGGCCAGAAGAAAACCCACTTGTTCCGCGCCCGGAAAAAAGCACTCCCTTACGCCGAGGCTCGATGTTGCTGTCGATCATGGTGGCTGCTTCGGCGTCCGTCCGGGCCACCAGCACCAGGGGAGAGTTCAGCACGTCAGCCTGACACCGCATCGTGAGTTCCGGACGCGGACGGCGGGAGCGGTGACGTGCGGTTCGGAGCGGTGACGTGCGGTTCGCGAAGTGCTTCCACCCGGTGGGAAGTCGTCACGCATGGCCTTACCCTAGACTTCCAAGACCATTAAAAAAATGGTTGACCTGGTGTTTGTCGTGTAAAATCCTTAGTTGATTCGCTAAAGCCTTTTAAATTCATGGTGGTTGGAAGCCGGACTCCGGGTGACTCCACGAGTTTGGTCACGACGCTTACACTCGCTCGCTCGTACGACACACACACACACACACAGACGCACGCACGCACGCGCTGGTCCTTGGGGGGGTCGGTCAAGAGGGGGCCTGGCTAGCCCTGCCATGCGAAACCCTCAAGAGCCGTGGCCCTTGCACGCCGTGGCCCTCCAACGGCCCGGGACTGCGAAGGTGTTTGGTGTGGTGGTTTTGGTGACTGAGTGGGTTTCAGTTGCACCCACCCACCGACCGACCCAAAAAACCAAGCTTTTCAAGCCGGGCACCTGCAGACGGATGGCGATCAAGCGCTGAATGTGCTCCTGGGGGTCGGGGACAGAGTGTGGGAACCCTTCACTTTGAGACTCCAGGTGGTGCCGACTTCGAACTACCTCCAGCCTCGAACCTGAAAACAGATCACGGCTTAAGGACCTGCATCTATTTGATCAAGGTTCCAGTTACCAGTAGAATAAGGTGCCCCAAGGGTCCATTGGTCCATCGTTCAAGGTCTCCACTGGTCGGCCTGAGACCCCGGTGGTCCCATGTACCCAGTGGGTATGACCCACACTGGTCGACCGCATCCAGGTTTTTGGTCCGAGCAGAACCACGCGAGTGGATGCGAGTTCTGGGGCACTAGCCTGCCTCCATGGATAGGAACTGTTTTTTCCATGTGTCATCTGTTTCAAGGTTGTTAATGGACGATCCACCTTGATATGTGGGTGGTTGATAAAGGCCTCAAAAACAGGGTTTTTCTTTATCAACGTCAATCTGGCAAAGCTCCCGCGACCACCCCTGGTCCAAGTTAGGCCCAACAACCATGTCCCGGCGGCCGCGTGAACGGCCGCGTCCTGGGTGGAGACCAAGACCTTGCCACCCATGTGCCCACATTTCTTGGTGCCAGGCTTCTGGTCCTGGAGAACGCAGCTGAACCAGGCAACTCACTGATGAGAAAGGCACATTCTCCCTGATGTCCCTAGAAACCATTTGACCTCTGCTTTGATAGGAAAGACTCACCTTATTTTGAGTGGTTCATGGTCCAAAATAGGTCATTCAGGTTCTAGGTCTATGGATGTCAGCTGAGCACATGTTGGTCCTCCCACACGCCCTTGTTTTCTGCGCCACCCGTGCCAAAACTCACTCAACGCCATCATAGGGGAAGTTCTTTGCTCCCCTAGGCTTCATGGACGACGCCTTTGCCGGGCCCCTTGGACCACCCAGGCCCAAGAAGAGCACGGCACCAAAATGGCATGCTGGTGCCCCCGCAGCTGGTGCCCCAAATGCTGGTCCTGCCAGCTCCCCGCACCCTAAAAACACCGGCAGCCACCTCTTCCACCTCAGATTAAGATCTCTTCCAGCTCTTCCACTGCACGCACTCCCCCTTTCTGCTCCAACCATCGCAACCACGGCGCCCAAACCGCCTCCTCCTGCCGCAACGTCTCCCGCGCCCCGAAGACCAGCAGCCCAGACCGCGCGCGCGTCAGCGCCACGTTCGCGCGGCGCAGGTCGCGGACGAAGCCGAGGCGCCCGGAAGAGTTGCCGCGCACCAGGGAGAAGAGGATCAACTCGGCTTCGGCTCCTTGATAGCCGTCCACCGTCGAGACAGGCACCTGGGAGGTGAGGTCCTGCCTGGGCCTTCTTTCGGTGGTGTCTTGGCTGGAGGTCCCTTACATCGTGATGGGCTGGGCGAAACCAGCCAGGTGACCCCGGAATGAAGGTGGTGAGAAGATCGATATGAGAAGATATGAGACAGACATGCGCACTCCTTGGTTGACCAGAATCGATGGGTACGGGGAGCAGCTGATGGATGTCACGCTCATCCTTTCACGGCCATGCCATCCATTTCCATGACTCCAGGGAGTGTAAACATATCATCCATCAGGAAACAAACAAGCAACATCAAGCAACCCCATACATCACAAACCGGTGTGAAAGTGACGACTTGAGTTGTTTTGCCTCTGTGGATGTGTGTGTTGGGCACTTGGTTGAAGAGCCGTTGTGTGTGTGTGTGGGCATGTGTGTCAACATCTTATTTAAAACATGATTGACCACAAAGTTCCTTGGGGTTAGCTGGCGACACTTCCATTGAGCGTCTCCCGGCCTGTAGCTTTGCATCCGCCAGCACAGACTTCAGCAGCTCTTTTTGTTGCACGTACGGTGTCAAGACCGCGATCCTGATGTAGCGGGCTGAGGATGGGCTCCACGAGTTCAAGAGGATGGGTCCAGGAAGTCTCAACAAAAAGACATGCAAGCCAGGAGTCACATGGAGTTGGGTGCCGGTTCCGAACGGAGGAAGGATAGGGGCGTCCCAAGAGCTCTCCCAAACGATCGTTTCATTCATTGAGGCTCCAGCGAGCCGCACTCGGCGGCAAGAAAGTTCCGACACTTTACGTTGGAAAGATCCCCCCTTCAAAAAAAAACAGAAGTGCCCGAAGAAAAAACATGCAAGTCAGACTCGTTTTGTCATTGGCCGAAGGAAAAAAGAAGTGCCAAGGAATCGAACCTCCGGGGAAATAGAGCGATCATGTGATGATTTTTCTGCACACTCTCAGTGAAAAGCTGCCTGGGGACAGGTGTAACACGCTGGAGCATATAGGATACTTGTCTACTTAGGGAGTTGCTGTCTGCGAGTGCCACTAGCACCACTACCCCAATACTACCACTACGACAAAGACAACGACGACGACTGCTTCTACTTCTACTCCTACTTCTACTTCTACTTCTGCTGCTTCTTCTTCTTCCTCCTCTTCATCTTCGTCTTCTTCTTTGTCTTCTTCTTCTTCTTCTTCTTCTTCTTCTTTCGAGGGGTGACTGCGCCGTCCCATAGCAGCACTCCACCAACCCCTTTTCCTTCCAGGCCACTCGCCCTGCGTGCTGTTGGGCCTCAAGTGCTGCAGCACCCGGCGGATGGCCTCGGCCTCCCCTGCGTTGCGCCATGAGGTACCGCAGCGCTCCTCGTCCATGCCGCAGTCGATGAGCATCACGCGCAAGGCATCCTCCAGGGTCAAAAAAGGGGGGGTCCTCTTCCCCACGCACCTGCTCAGCAAAACAAAGAGTCTGGCTTCAACACTTCAGCACTTCGGATCCTTCTGAGGGAACTGTAGCTGCCGGATGGGGGGCCGTGCTGGCACCTCATCCCTCACACGTCCCTGGTAGAAGTGTTGGTTGGGGAACTCCGCGATGGACGGGTGCATCCGGCGCTGCTCGTTCAGCAGCAACGGCTCCACCAACGCGGCTCCGCCTGTGCCCTGCGGCGCCTCCACCAGGCGCGCGAAGAGCGACCGCTCCAAGCCGCCGCGGCGGGCGTCGTCGGAGATCACGGTAGGGGGCAACTGCCGGTGATCACCAATTAGGACCAGATGTGAACAGCCGTTGATGATGGGAAGCAAAGTGCTGGGCTCGATCGATTGGGTGCTCTCATCAATGATCACGCGCTGGAAGTGCTCACCTGAAGGTAAATGTATCCATCCGTAAGCTCTTGACTTGTCCTTCAGATGTTTGATGAAGGGCTTTGGGGAGGGCACCTCATCCAGCTAGCGCAGCTATTTAATGGTTGAGCCACGGCCCCATCACGCCCAACGGAATCCAATACATTACCTTGACACATGATGTACTTCTACTTCCGCTGTCCCACTGACCGGACACGTCACCTTTCACGAGGTCGTGCCCCGCACTGGCGCAGGTGGTCACCACAATCTGAAAGCTGCCGAGCGCATCCTGTCGGCTACCGCGTGGCAGCGGGTCTGTCTATCCCAAGGTCCCAGGAAAGTTGGGTGTAGGGTTGGGTGTGTGTTTTGGACCATCACCACTAGGGTTGTGGAGCCTTTTAGGGCCCAACACATGGTGAAGTGCAAATGAAGAGCGAAGGCTCCCTGAACGCATCACGCGCGAGGTCGGTCTGGCCCCACCGCAGGTTGGGGGACAAGGATTGGACCCAACCGCTCGCCTGAGCCATCATCATCTTGTCATAGATCGAGGCTGCTTTGCGCATTTCGGCTGGTGCGAAGCGGTAGGATTTGATGCCTGAGTGGGTCAGAAACCGGCTGATGCAATCACGGTCCTCTCAGATGTCTGGGAAATCTGACACCACTAGTGCCCATTTCTCTATTGAAGCGCCAAAAGCCCAGCTGTCCAAAGCTCCAGGCCTTTTGCCGTCCAAGCCACCCCACTTGCGCAGGGCTCTGTGCAGCTGGTCCGCCGCCACGTTCGAGTCCGCCGCGCACAAAATCCGCTGCCCACTGGAGCGCCAGCCCATGACCACGGCCGCCGCAGCGGTGGTCTTCCCAGTGCCTGCAGCGCGGAAGGTGTTCTCCCAGGGGTCACATGTCGGGGTGGTGTTTGGTCTCTAAGTGAATGGACTAGCTGGGCACCGCGACTACCTCCAAGCTCGGCACCCAACTCCATGTGACTCCTGGTTGTTCTTTTCAATACCTGGGGGGTCTACCTGAAGATGATGAGACAAGTCCCGAAAAGGTGCAACATGATGGCATCAAGCAGGGCACACATGGGCACACGTCACAAGTCTCCGTTGTTGGAGGACACTCCCGCCAGGTCTCGGCATAAGTAATGGTGAGTCGGGCGGGAGCGTTCACTTCCGCTACCCTAGCCTTCAAAGACGTTTTAAAGAGTTGACCTGGTGACTGTAGTGCAAACACCCTCAGTAAAACAAGGTTCTTTGGGATTCAGACCATTGAACCCATCCGATGGCTGGCCACACATGCTAGGGTCTAGCTTCAGGAGTGACACAGTGTCGTCCAGCCTGGCCTGGGGGGCCTTGGATCAAGGTGAGCCGCTGCTGAAGGGAAGCAATCACAGAGTTCAGCTGAGCCTGCGCTTGGCAGGGAAGAAGTGCATCCGCATCCTCTGGATGAGCGACCTACCCGGCCATTCCCACGGCATCCACACCCTTCGCGTTGCTTTCTGAGTTCGTTCGCACCCGACCCGGCCCCTCAGCTCTCGACGACTCGTCCGAGCCTGGGAGAGGCGCTGCCCGGTGGCGAGGGCGGCCTTCTGCACCAGCTCCTCAGGAAGGTCGGCCCGCGCAAATGGGGTCTCGGACCCAACAAGTCAAGTGGAAGTGCCAAAATCACAGCCATTGACTCAATGGACCATACTCAATGAGGTTCGGACCAGGTATTGGACTTGCTCCTGGTTGACTTGCATCGATGGGATTCCCACCTCTAAAGGTTTTTGCTGCAATTTCCCCCACATCCACCCATCCCACCGCTCCACAGACTGCTCCAACTGCTCCACCGGCCGCTTCGCCAGGGCCCGTCGGGCGCTCTCCAGATGTCGCGCGCCGGGCGCGCCGAAGGCTTCCACGATGATCTGGGACATCTCCCGGCCCAAGGCCTGATGCCGCGAGCAGACCGAAGTGGCCTGCCCTCCAGGGAGGCCATCTCCAGGGAGTTCGTTGTTCATGCACTCTACAGGTCCCTGCTGGGAACCAGCATGGTAGTGGAAAATAGATGAAAATGGTCCCCTTGGGAAGACCATCTTGCTCTACAAACAGGTGGCGCCTCTTTGGGACCGTGATTTTGCTTGCACGGTCAGTTGCCTGGACCCCACCGCGTTCTTGAGGGTTCCCTTTTTCTTTCCCATCCAGCTCCGGACCTTCACAACCACCCCCACCCACTCCAAAAAGCGGACATACAACGCCTGAAGGGGCTCAAAGAATCCCAGGCGAGCGCCCCACCAACCCCCCCCGAACAAGGGACAAACCCTCCCGGCAACCCATCCGATCGCGACGGAGGCCGACGGAGTCGGCCACAGCCGGCTCCTGCGGCGCGGCTCGTCCCTCGTCCGCGGAGAGGCGCGGCTGCGCGGAGGCCCAGAGTGCCGAAATGCACCTCGCCGGGACCGGCAGGACACGAGGGAGGCATGGCCATGGACAGGGCAAATCCTCCAAATAAAGACCAGGCGATGGAGGTGGGCAAAAGGTCGATGACCACCACCCCCTACATCATTTGTGCTCAAGGAAGGGCTACCTTTCGTGAGTACCATCCAAAAGTCGAGGCAAAGTTTGGTGTAATATGGCCGCACGGTCCCGGTACCGTGCGGGTCACCCCGGCCAAGACCCGCGACCGGGCGCGACCGGTCGGCCGCGCGTGCGACCACCTGAAGGCCGTGACCTCGGACTCGAGGCCATAGACATCGAACCACTCCTGCCGACGAGGAGGAGCGACCTCGAACCGGCAAGGCCAAAACAGGGACCCAATGACAATGAACGATAGGAAAGTGAAGGCACTTACGTTAAATAATGACATCTATATATATACATATATATATATAGCTGTATAACTATAGATTTAATGACATCTTCTTCCTATGCTCGGCCCGCTTGTGCCCTAGCCTAATGATTAGGTGAGTCAGCCTTGACCGAAGGGACCATGGAAGTGGGAATTGCTCCTCGTCCACATCATCCATGCTGAGGGTATGACAGCGGACAGTCAACTTCGGCTTGCCTTCCTGCAGATCTCACCCGGCAACTTAGATACTCTTGGACCATTGCCAAACTGATTGCAACATCTGTCACACATTCATGGTGGGTTGAACCTCTTTTACATGATTTTAACCAAAGCAAAGCATGACAAAGCCACGGACATCCGTACAGCTCAGCATATTCAGAAGATTCGCATATATAGTGGATTGAGAGTGGATGGCACAGACCCCAAGAGGTGGTTTATATGAACCCCCATGTAAAGGACATCTTGAGGTCTGTGCCATCTACTCTGAAACCACTGTAATGTTCTGTTAAGTTCTGTGTTCGTCTGAATGGCCGGTCCTGACCTTGTGCTCAAGGGTTGAAACAAACCCTTGATCACCGCGAGCTGGAACGGTTTTCTTGCCGTTGACTGTTTGACAGTTTGTCCCTGTGGCTTACCTCATAAATGCACAAACTGTTTGGGGTCTACGCTGGTATATTTTAAAAGAGTGAGTCACTTGAGTGAAGTGGGGTGCGCTGACGCTTGGAGTTGGGGCTGACGAGGATGCATGCATGTATTTCGCTCCAAATTCCAAGCACTGGAGTATCAGGACCCATGCTAGGACATGAAATTCTCATAGAGATGCCACCCAGGAAAGCACGACCTGGACCTGCAAGGGGCTGTGTAATGGAGACCCCAAGTGGAGACAAGTGAAAAAGAATGCGGCCAAGTGTATCCAGAGTGGGCCGAAACAACTGGGAGACAGGTGGAGACAAATGGGACACGAGTGTAAGAGCATCCGGCCAAGAGTATCTAAGCAGGGAGACAAGCAAAGAGACAAGTAGAGACAAGTGTAAAAACATCCGGCCAATTGTATTCAGAGTAGGCCGAGACAAGCCGGAGACAAGTGCAACAAGTGTAAAAAACAAGAGCCTCCAGCCAAGAGTACCTAACCACGAGACAAAGAGACAACTGGAGACAAGTGTAACATCCGGCCAAGTGTGTCTAGAGGTCCGAGACAAGTGGGGGACGAGTGGAGACAAGTGCAACAAGAAGGGAGAAGCATCTGGCCAAGAGTGTCTAAGCAGGGAGACAAGCAAAGAGGCAAGTGGAGACAAGTGTCACAACATCCGGCCAAGTGTATCCAGAGTAGGCCGAGACAAGTGGGAGACAAGTGGAGACAAGTGTAGTAAGGGAAACACGCAGGGAGACAAGTGGGAGACAAGTGTAAAATCATGTGGCCCAGAGCACCCAGTGTGTACTGGGAGACAAGGGAGACAAGTGGAACTGCAACATCACGCATCCAAAGCAACCACAGCGCCGCAGGAACGCAAGCCCGGAGACAAACATAAAATCATGCGGCCCGGGCATGCAACCCTTTCAAATGAGCAAGAACCCCTCACAGGTAAACCTGTTCGGGGAAAAAAACAAACCCCGGACCTTCTCAGTGACCTCTTCAGGATTGGTAGACGTGACCTGGCCTCAGAGGCAGTTTCACTCGTGACCGACCCGCCACTGGGATCTCAAGGACGGTCACTGCGAAGGTCCGGCCCGACATGTTCCTAAGGGCTCAGATGTCCAGGTTCCGCTTAGAAGGACCGGGCCGGACGGATGTTGACAAACATCCGCCCGGCCAGCCACAGGACGCGTTGTGTCCGGTGTCCTTCACAATGGTCGTCACCACTGCCAGGTGATCCCGCTCGTCCGAGCGCAGGTACACCACATCTCCTTGCCGCAGGGAGCTTAGGAGGGAGCCATCCCAATCGCGTGGAGGCACCAGGGTCAGGTAGGGCAACACAAAATGCTGCTGTCCTGAGTGGGAGTTCCGGCCACAAGTTGCGAACTGCAAAGGGGCAAAGGCGGCCAGTTTGGTAGCTAGAAATTGATGATCTGTGGTCTCAATCTCAGAGCCCCTGGCCCAGGAATTCTATGAAATTTTGCCTATGTTTCCAGGAAATCTATGATCTAGCACCCACAGACATGGGCCAAAGCTTTCGTCGTTGTCCTCGCGGGTCTCTGTCCATGCTCACTTTGCAGCTCTTGTGGGCAAGCTGCTCATCCTCAAATAGGGTGCCTCCGCTTGGGTGCGCAGCTCTTCCACCATCGCCTGGTTGGCTCCCACCCTTTCCATGGCCATGAGCAGCCGGAAGTGTTGGAAATAGTCCCTGTGCGCCGCCGAAGGGAATTGAGCCGCATCCAGCCGGGTGCCCTGCAAGGCTCGCAGGGCCTCAGCAGCTGTAGCCCCACACGCCACGTGCGCCGGTGCATCCAAGAGCGATTCCCAAAGCCTGGGGCCTAAGCCCTCCCTGGGCAGCTCCCGCACCGCGCGGCCCAGCACTTCGAGGGCCTTCGTGTCCCGCAGGGCCAGGGACTGTCGCCAAACGTCCAGCAAGACCAAGCTCCAGTAGGAGGGTGGCCATCGGGACATGAAGTCACATGCTGACGATGCAGCTGCAGGACCCGAGTCCTTGGCCAAGGCACGAACTCCCGCGGCCTCGCAGAGCGCGAAAGCATCGGCACCCCCGAGGAAGAAAGGCGGAGTGGACCAGGTTCCTTGACCAATGATACACGGTGGGGTGTCTCGAAGTCTAATGAGTCCAGGGAGTGTACCCTGGACTCATACCGACTGTAACTGGTAAGGGGGGTTACAACCCCATGTTGACCCTATCCCTGTCGGTTGGCACTGGTCAGGAACCACCGACCATGGCCGAAGCCCCGACTCCGAGTCACACCGACCCCTTAGAGGGATCGCTTTGGAGCGTAGACTCTTGGTGACTCTTGATGATATGTCTGTCAATCCCCATATGAAGAGGTTCCTCGCTCCAAATGAGTAGCTTCTGAGTTTCATGAATCAAGAGTCAAGAGTATGTTTGATGAGGGTGTTACAGTATGTTCGATCTATCCCAAGTCCACCTGACGCCTGCATGTTTGGAAACCCTCCATTTCGCCTCGTTGAGCGCGCTCACCTCCAGTGCTTCGAAGCCCTGCTCCTGCAGCATCCGCCGCATGGCCTCCGCCTTCGCAATGCGCTTCTTGCCACCCAAGGCGCTCACGCGCGCCTCGCGCGCCTCGCCGCTGGGATCGTCCCAGAACCAGCGGAGGACACAATGGTAGCCCGCCTGCGAGATGTAAAGGTCAAATGATGGCGTAGGGTCCGTCCACTGGTGCCACACGTGCCCAAGCCCTCCCTCTCTCTCTCTCTCTCTCTCAGCCCTCTTGACCCCTGAACACTCGCCTCATGTGCCAGCACCTCATCTTTCACCTTCACCCGTCGGCGTAGCACCACCAAATTGTGCCTCACTACAAGCTCCCCTGCCGCCGCGTCGCTCAGCTGCGACTGCGCGGCGTCCAGCTGCTGCTGCCGCTGCTGCGCGGCCTCCTCCAGCAGCTGCTGCTGCTGGACCTCGCGGCGCTCGGCCTTCGCCACGTGGACACTCTGCTGGAGCGCCGGCTGAGCGGCGGCCTGGACATATAAGTGTTCCAAAGCATCGGCCTCTGCAGCTGTGCGGCCGGTGCTCTTTTTCCCCGGAAGAAAGGCTCCTGGAAACAGTCCAACACCCACACGTTCATCTTTACCTCGTTCAAAAGCTGGACGAAAGGTGGTGAGAGATTCAGAAGACATCGATGGATGCATCTAGTGTAAATGTCCTGTGAGTGGCCCCATCTACATTCCACTCAAGACATGTTTGGTGAAATGTCCCTGGGCACTAGGTCATGAGAACCTCTCGTTTGCGGGCCTCATTGTTCACCCTCTGTCTCTCACTCTCTCTCCCTCTCTCTCTCTCTCTATATATATATATATATGAGCATATATGAGCTACCTTGGAGATCTTGGAGACTGGCCCCATCCAAGTTTCATGCTCCCTCGCTCGCTGACCCCCATCCCACCGACCCCACCTGCGCTTCAGCGGCTGTGGCACCCCGGCCCTCGGCCGTGAGCTCCAAGGGGGGCCGGTTCTGCGGCCGCGGAACCCGCCAGGTCACCGAATGCACCGAGCCAGACTCGCCCGGCTCGCCGGGACGATCCTCCAGCACCTGCGGTTCCGGGCGCGCGGGAGTTCCGCGCGGCGAGAGTGGGGATGTGTCCATGCGTGTTGGGTGGGGTGGGAGGGTTGAAAAAGGAAGGCACTGGCGGGCATACCTCTCCGGGGTTCTATGGAAGTTCCTTCTGTAGGACGACTCAGCATGGCCTAATGCCCACAAGCCCAGGCACCTCCGCTGACAGCTTGTAGCGAAGCCCCGAGAGCATTTGCTTCCGCATCTGCAGTGCGGCCTCCTGCGCGTGTGAGAGGCCCATCCGCTGGTCGTGCTGCAACCCACTCATCACCATGTTACCATGCAAGCTCTCTCCCCCTCTCTCTGTCAATCAGCCGTCCCACAGGGACACGATGTGACTGTGTTGTAACGAAGGTCATAGGCTCCACTAATCTGGAGTCGCACGCTTCTCGTGGCTTGGACCCCTCTATACAGGGCTCATGATGGCTGGCCCGACTCCAGGTCCACGCCTTGACCGCCTTGGTTCCCCCCCCTCTCCAAACCATCCTCGCTCACTGGCAGCTTCTGGAGCAACTGTCTGGCCGCGTCCCTCCGTGCCGCCTTCTTACTGCGTGCCTGGCCGCTGCCCCTCACCGTTCGGTTCTGCACCCTCCACTCAATGTCGACCACCTGCTGTCCTCCAGTCAACCTGAGAGGAATCAACGAAAAATGCGAAGAGAAACCATATAGCCTTCAAAGACCATTAAAGAACTGGATGATGACATGGTCTTGTGGCAAAACACCATCAAAAATGGTGGTTGGAACCGCAGGAAAAGGAGAGTCCCGAAACACCTGCCGCGTTGTCTGTCCGTCTGACTCTATAGTATATAATTGTGTTGAGCAATGGCAGCCATGCATGACCAACCATCAAATAATTTGTGTGAAATAAAGTGGGCAAACGCAAACCAAAAGCAAACGAAAATGCAAAACAAAAGCAAAAACAATAGCGAAAATAAAGCAAACAAAAAGTGAAAATAAAGCGAAAAAATTGAGTGAAAAAAATTGGAGCTTGCATGTGTGTGTGTGTGTGTCGCTTGTTTTTCACTGTTTGTTCGATCTTTGTTCGCTTTATGTTCACCTTTTTTTGCTTGTGTGTCGCTTTTTCACCGCTTTTTTCCTAGAAGCGTACAGCGAATATTGCTCACGGGTAAAGTTTTCGTAAGTGCAGAAGTGGTACCCGGAAAAAAAGGTAACACAATGCGGAGAAAAAAAAACGAAAATAAAGCCTGAAACATGTGAAAATAAAGCGAATAAAAGTGAAAAATAACGATAAACACGCAAAGCTACATTGTTTTGCTTGTTTGTTTGCTCTACCTTTTGTTTTTTTGCTTTAAACAATTATGTTGGCTCCGTGTATCTATGGCTGGCGTGCCGTATGTAACTTAGCCATTTCTAGCACTTTTGCTTAAACTAATGCCGGAAAGGATTGAATTGCGCAACTGAGGAGCAGCTTCACATCCTCTTTGACCGCTGGCGTCAGCTGCACTCTCTGAATCGCATAGAGGTACAGCACATTCTCCTGGCTAATCGGTCCGTGCGAGAAAGTGCAGGACTTCGGCGGGAAAAAAGAACCATGGTACGTTCTCCCTGTTTCCAGCTGACCGGTCGTGTGGAAATCAGGTGGACTCTGGAGTTCAAAATCCTCCACCCTTCAGATGAAGAGGTGGTTCAAAATCCGGGGGGGTGGGCATGTTTCTCAAGAGTCTACCAACACCTTCAAAGGGCTCACCTGGCTCTTCCAGCTCCAGCCACCCCGAAAGAAGGTCGCAGGTACATGTTAGTCTGTTTGCCGTCAAGAAACCCCATGGAAATCCCACAAATCCCACCAGGACCTTCCCAGTGACCTTTTGAGATCCCAGTGGCGGGTCGGTCACGAAACGGCCTTGAAACGGTCACGTCTACCAATCCTGAAGAGGTCAGAAGGTCCTGGTCCCAGTTCTTCCATTTCGACCTTCTCTCCTGAGCTCCCTTGGCCCAGCTCTCTCAACCTGCATCCGAACCCCGACCGTTGGCCTCAAATGAACCCAGAACCGACAGGTCCAGTCTGCCCTGTCGGTCCAAACCGGATCCTGAAAACCTCATTGAGGACCAGGACCTTCAAAGTGACCGTCCTTGAGATCCTAGAATGAGGTCACTGAGAGACTCCAAAGAGGTCACTTAGAGACTCCACAGAGGTCACTGAGAGACTCCCAGGTACCTAGTAGATTCGATTTAGACATGTGTAGTAGTTGTTGTTTTTTGGGGGGAAGGTGCGGGGTATGATCAACTTCCGCAAAATGAGGTCAAACTGACCTGTAGGGCAGACCACACGCAAGAAATCAAGAAACAAAATAGACAAAGGCAAAACTCTCGAACACCAACCCTCGAACACCAACCCCCGCTCCCCACCACTCCCCCACTCACCGCTCCTCATTCCAGTAGAACTCCTTGAAGCAGTCGCTCCGGCAGCTCCCGGACCACCTCAGCACTCCTGCGCCGTCGCCGCTCGAAGCCACCGAGCGCCGCGCCCGGGCCGGCCACATCGCCGCGCCGCCCGCGAGGGACCCCGAGAGGAAGCCCATCCGTGGAAGGCTGGAGAGGTGCCGGAGAAGCTGCATGCGGCGGTGCGGCAAGCGGTGCGCCGGGCCAGTCCCTGCCCCTCGGTGAGGAAGTGTCCAGCGCAGCGTCGCCGTCGCTGTCACAGGGCGGAGGGCGGAGGGCCGGCATGCTTGGGCACTTCTCATGGGCTAGCTGCCTAGCTGCACGATGCTGCAAGCTGCTGGCCTACGTGATGCCTTCAGTGTGGATGCTGGAGGGCCTTGACTGGACCAAGGAACCCAAAAGCCAACAGATCGCATTCAGTCAAACAAAGTCCAAGCAACTTATGTCTATATACAGTAGGTAAGTTTGTTCATGCATCCCGCCGAGCTTACAGTGTCTAACCATGTTCAAGCACTTGGGCCAAAGCCTGTCCAAGTCCAACGAGCCAGAAAACGTGTCTCGTGCAGCCTGTCGCATGCTCAGCCGCTCACTTTCAGTGACAGGGTGTTGGCTTCCGCATCACCAACAATACGACTGACGGATTTTTGGCCCCAAAGAAAGACCAAAGGAGCCCCTCGCAGAAATGCTCTTGATGTGATGCTGCTCTCATCTCAAAGCCAAAAGCTGCTTGGGTCAGTAGCCACTGGTCATGGCCATATCTGTAACCCCAACTTAGCACCATATATGGCGCCGGTGCCTTCTTAGTCATTCCCCACCGATTTCTCGCTCTACACCCGCTCAACTATGCCCCCACTCAGACGTTTCCAGCCATCCTCGATGTGGATGCCAGCGGCCCCGTTCTCAATGAACATCTTGGCGAGCTTCATGGTGGCGGTGATGCCACCGTGTCCGGTGTCAGCGTCGGCAATGATAGGATTCAGGTAGTCCTTGGATTCAACATGTTCAACAGCCTGCCGGTGAAATGATCACAACCTCTGCATGCTAGAAACTGGGCAAGCCAAGCGGGACGGCTTTCAATCCTGATAATCTTCCTAAACACCTGTCCAGCAATGTCTGCTAAGGCTCCACCACCGGAGTCTTCGCACGCTCCTCGGCGCTCATGCGGCGGCGCTCCTCATACTGCTTGCGGTCATGGAAGAGCTGGGCACGGAAGAGCTGGTCCACCTGCAATAGCACGGGCCTGATCCGCTGTAAAGCTAGCACTTGAGGCAACCGTCACAGAACGGGTATCTCCAGCTCCACTGGCTCCTAACTTGCTCCGCAGCTAGTGGAGAGATGAGATCGAATGCTCTGGCCAGCGTCTTAGCTCACAAGGTTTACTCCTAAACATCTTTGACCTCTCAAAGCCCCTCCGTTTTCCATTCCAGTTCCATCATCCTCCGGCCATGCCATGCCCGTCCGACCGTCGATCCCAAGGACCCTTTCTCCCGTCTCGTCGCGACCGTCGCCACGGGTCACATGCTCACACCCTCAAAAGGTCGAGCCGACCTGAAAAGAAGGGGGCGGGGGAGCTGAAAGATTCACATCACTTCACTAAGGAGAAAAGTATAGTCATTGGACTTCTAGGGTTCATAACTCTCATCACTCCCAGTTCTGATGCCTTGTTGGGCACGGTGTCATAAGGGTAATCAGCCACATCTGGGCCGGGCTCGTTGGAGGTGGAGGCGGTTGAGGAGCACTGCCAGCCGCTCACGTAAACGGAGGTCAAGTACTTTGCCATCTGAGTGACCTGCCAAGATCTAGCACAAGGCCAAGCAAACAGTTTGGTGCAGATGCGGGTATATCTCCGACATCATATATGCATCTATTATACTTCTATGAAAACATGTGTGGGTGTGTACATCTCCCGTATTTCTACAATTCCTAACCATGCATATATAAGGGAAGATTTGAAGAAAGAGAGACGCAGAGAGAGAGAGAGAGAGAGCGAGAGCGTGGCTCAAGCCGTTGGCTCAAGCGATATACGGCTCAAACCGGGTGCCTGGACACCTTGAACGGCATTGGTGCTACGAGTCTGAGGCTGACAAGGTCCTGTACTATACCCAGGGCATCTTTGCCTTTGCTAGCTATCGAGGTTGAGGAGGAGGCCGCGCTCTGTGTTCTGTGAGGATGTGGGCTGGCTACCAGCAGGACTTTGTCAAGGTCAGGAGCCGCAGACACTATCTTGCGTGCCATGGCTGCAGTGCCTCATGGATTTGGGCCGACAGAGTCAATGAATCTCGATGGGGTTGCAACAAATGTGGCACGCCATGGAAACCGCAGGACACGCGGAATGATAGCTGGTCACCCACCAAGAAAGTCAGGAAGAACAGAGGGCGAGACCGCACCAAACTTGAACCTCCCCCTGGGCTAGGAAACAGGCAGAAGTCGGAAGGCAATGCGATTGAGGCTGCTCTGAGGAAGGCCTGGGCCACTATGCCAGCAGAGACTCAAGAGGCTTTGAAAGGGGCAGGCATTGACCTCACTCCGGAACCGGAGATACCCCCATTGGAAGAGGTCTTGAAAGCGCATTTGGAGTCCTTGCCCAAGGAAGTCAAAGATGTGGTGGCAGGATTGATCAAACCGGCCCCAGCTGCTACGGTTGATGTGACAGGTCAACTGAAGGCAACAGTTGGGGAACTGAGACAACTGGCAACGAAGAAGCAGTCTCTGCAACGCAAAGTCGACCAGGCCAAAGAGCAGTACCGGGTGTTGCTAGATGAGCTGAAGACAGTTCAAGAGGCCATTGACAAGGAGCACAAACAGCTGGGAGACCAATCGGCTGCGTATGCCAAGCAGTTGAAGGAGGAAGCAGTGCCGATTCCGCAGGCACATGAACATGTGCTTGACCCGGATGCAACAGAGCATGTTTTGAAGGCTCTTGGACAGGCAGGCATCCTTTTCAATTCGGAGCAGCAGAAAGAATTGGAACGCAACTTGGCCGAAACACTGGCCAAGCGACGAAAGACTGATGAGGCCCAATTGTGTGGGTAGCATCAGCTGGACACCTTGTGCTCGAAAAGATGGCGATGGGGCTGTTTCTCCTGCAGTGAAGGGGTCCTGGAGGAAAACTATGGGGTTGGCACCCAGGTGTTTGGGTTTTGGGGGTGCGTCAAACAGATGGGAATGTTTGACTACTTGGAGAAGTGAATGGTCACCTCATCAAGCTTGGGGACATGAGCAAGGTGAAGGTGAGTTGATGCAAACGGTGATGGATGATGTGCAGTTCCAGCAAGGTGACTTCATGCATGTTGCCCTTCAAGGACTGCAGCCGTATGTGAATGTCACAGGTTACCATGACACTCCAATTCCATGTGAGTTTAGTGGCAACTATGGCATCCACATGGGCGTTGATCAAGATTTTGCAATTTTGTTTCAACCAAAGGTAGGCATGCGCCATGCCTGCCGGGACATGGGGGATGATGATGCAGTACAGATGAACGATGCACATGAGCCTGCCAGTCTTGCTGCAAAGCCAGATGGGAATAGGGCAGGCCAGAGAGCCGATCTGACTACAGAACATATGAAAGTCAGTGGTCAGGAGAGGATAGGGGCACCGCCCTCCACGACCTCAGAGCAGCTGGGGAAACCCAGACTTGCTTCCTGCGGGACCCTGATTCCTTCTCCAATGACCACTGGCAATGGGGATAGCAACTATGCTCGAACGCAGCAATGTGCCCTCTTAGGAGGGGGCAGATTAGATCAAGATGACTACTTCATCCTTGAGGATGATGATCGCCAAAATGCAGACCTTCTCACACCTGGCCATCTGCAGGATAGGTTGGTGGTGTTGCAGCAGAGAGCACTAGAGGCCATCCAGGCCTTGCCGGCCAAATGCAGAGAGGATCAGGACTATGGGATGGTTGAGACCAGGGTCTGGGGCTTGGAGGCCCTAAAGCACATCCTACGAATGAGGCTTGCACTTCAAAGCCATGTCCAGCTGACCCGCCCAGTCACGCAGGTCATTGACATGCCACAGACAAGTGAGTTACTTGCAGCAAATTTGACCCTGACAATCCGCAATCCTGGCAATAGGTGCTTTGCAAATTCAGTCCTCCGGATGTGGTGCTGGATGGGGGCGCATCATGACAACCCTGGTGAGTTTTGGGGGCCGTCCACAAATTTGTGCCTTCAACTACTCCAGCAGGAGGACATACCGGACATCTTTTGGGCCTCTGAGATACAACCTGTTATTGCCAAGCTGGAAAATCCTCAGGCACAACATGACGCCTCTGAATTTATGGTGTTGCTGTGGGAGCATTGGTGTCAAACAGGCATGCAAGGCTCATGGCATTCCCAGTTTGGAGGCAGAGACCATGAATTTGAGACCCTCCCACTTTTCATCCGGATGCCTGTGGAAGCTGGGGATGGTGTCAGTTTTGAACAGCTGCTGCAAGAATGGGCGAACGAGGCCAATGGACAGTGCCTGGCAGCTGACGTCCAACATATTGTCTTTCATGTGGGGAGGTGTCATCTGTGCCCCAGAGCCAAGTCGTGGGTCAAACGTCACAACAGGCTGTGCATCCCCTCGACTTTCAAGTGTGCACAGAGGACCTCGACGGGACATGGGGGGCAAGCTACATTTGCTCTCAGGGGTGTCATTGCCCATCAAGGGGAGGAGCTCATTTCTGGCCACTACGTCACTCTCCTGGTGGAAGGGGATGCGCTATGGTCTGTTGATGATGGGCAGTGTCCTCAAGCCCAGACGGCAGTCCCGGACATTTTCCAGACTGATGCAGTGATGATCTGGGCATCAAGGGCTGAGCATTCCCCTTTCTGGACTCGGACCATTGGGACTTTTGAGAGGCCCATAAAGCGCCAGAAGCTCACAGGGGAAGGCATTGAAGTCTTTTACAGCAACATCACCCAGTGGAATGGCCCAGCCAAGGAGTGGCTGCTGCAAACGGAGCACCATACAGTTGTCATGGTTGAGACGCACCTGCATGGACCAAAGATGGACCAAGCCAAAGCAGCCCTCAGCAGAAGTCGATGGCAAGCAGAGTTCATGCAGGCACATGAGACAGGCAGAGGAGGAAACAGTGGAGGACACCTTTTCTGCTGCCGTGAAGGGCAATCTGCGTACAGGTTGCATCACTATCGTTGGGAGGCCATTCAGCAGGCACGCCGTTGGGAGGACTTGGACCCCCATGTGGTGATGAAGAGGTTGCAGCGGCTTCCCCAGAAGGCCTGCGGTCCGGATGGCATCAGCTACGCCCTCCTCAAGAACCTGCCCCTTGAAGGGGTCACTGACCTGTGCAACATGCTCCGGACCTGGGAACTTGCTGGAAGGTTGCCTGAGCAGGTGTGCACAACGTTGGTGTTGTTGCTTCCCAAAAAGCCGGACATCGAGCGTCCTATTTCTTTGACAAGTGTGCTGTACAGGACGCGGTGCAAGCTTCGCTGGGATAAGTTGAAGCACTGGCAGTGCACCATAGGCCACAGGCTGCCTTGGGAACGGAGCCTTCCTGGCACACAAGTCCTGCATGTTGCCCTTATGCGCCTGCTGAAATGTGAGGTCAGTCGTGCTGTTGACAGGCATGTGATCAGCCTCCTGATTGACCTCCAGTGTTTCTACGACTCAGTGGAACTGGAACGGCTGCTACACCTGTGGGAACCGCAGGATTTCCCACCAGTGCACATGAACTTCCTGTATGAAATCTATTCTGGACCAAGGTTGCTTCAGGCAGAGCAGGTTACAAGCAGCCCAGTGCATTGCAGGAAGGGCATTCTCGCAGGTTGCCCCATGGCACCCCTTGTAGCCAAAATTGTCCTGGCTCCAGTGATTGAACAGTTTGTTCAGGCACATCCGAAGGCCTCCATAGATGTCTGGGTTGACGGCATTTCAGTGGACTTCAGTGGACAAGATGCTTTTGTTGTGTGCAGGGAAGCCTTGCAAGGATATGAGGAGCTCAAACATGGGCTTGAAGAGGCTGGCCTGACTCTCTCGGTCAGCAAGACAGGCTTCCTCACCTCCAGCAATGAGTGCAAGCGGCAGTTGAATCTGACCAGGAGAGAAGATCAACCTCGAGCTCACGACCTCCTCAAGGATCTTGGTCTGGATTCGAGTGGAGGGAGGAGACGGCGCATTGGCACTCAACAACAGCGGCTCCTCAAAGGAAGAGGCCGACACTCCAAGCTGATGCATTTCAAGCTCAGGTCTCGGCCAGTGAGGATAAGAATTTGGAAGACATCAGTGCATGCGGCTGTCAGCTATGGCATGGAAGCTCAGGGCATTGCGCCGCAGAGATTGCGTGTCTTGCAAGGGCAATTGGCCCGCCATGGTGGTTTGCAGAAAGGAGGAAGCACCGACATTGTTTTTGACCAACACACCAAATTGCAAGATCCACGTGACACGGCCATCGAACGTCAGATGAAGGCAATGCACCAATTGGTGCAAGCATGGCCGGAGGCACAGAGGGGAGAGCTGGCCACAGCGTGGAGAGTGTCATGGAAGCGGTTGAAGGCTGCTGCTCATCCTTGGATGGTGGTAGCAGGACCAATGGCAGCTCTGCAAACCTGGCTCATGGAGATGAAGTGGGATGCTGCTGTGCTTGATGACTGGGTGAAAGCGCCACAAGGTGTCCGACAAGTGGCTCAGCTCAATTTAGAGTACCCTTGGCCCTACTTGCACAAGCAACTTCAAGAAGAGTTGATGCAGCAACGGGCCCACAGGATCCAACAGCTGGAACATTGTTTTCCTTTGATGCGGAAGCCGGACTGGACCACATACCACAAGGTCATGAAGAAGCTGACAGGTGTAGCCCGAGCAGCCGTTGATGCCTGGACCCAAGGATCCCTTCGCACACATGTCAGTGGAGGAAGGGTGGTGTGTCCCATGTGCAATGTCCCGGTCACGATGAAGCACCTCATCTGGGAGTGCTGCTACCATGAGGAAGACTTACCAGATGACTGGCAGAGACTTATAGCAGCCAATGAGGAGACCATGCTGTGGGCAAGGGGATTGATTGAAACCCCGGACTATGCACCTCAGGTGGGGGTGGACTCTTTGCGCACCACTGGGATTTTGACCGAAGGTTGGCCGATGAGCATTGGACCAAGTCACCGGGTTGCAATTGGAGTCAAAGCCACATGTCAGGATGCTCGAGTCCAGAAGTTTGCAGTTGCCCTCATGGTGGGACACTGGCATGAAGGTAGCTGGCAAGTGGCTGGTACATGCACGGCATTGAGCCCGGGCAAGGCCAGTGAGGCCAGGGCATGGGTTTTTGGTTGTTGGCTGCTCTTACAGGCCTTTGTTGGGCGGCATCAAGTTAACCTGCCCAACAGAAGTGGGTGGCAGGCTTTGCAGAATGGACCCAAAAGTGTCCTGGTGGCTGACCTTTGGCACAATCTGGCAGGGCATGAGTGGAGCAGGTTGCGAGCTTTACATGTGCCACCCAAGCTCTTGCGGGAAGCGCAGGGTGATCAGAGGGCCTGGATGCAGTATCAGGAGGCGCAGAGGTGTGCAACTCAGCGGGCAGAGCAGGAAGTGCCGACTGCTTTGGTCCAAACACTGCGGAACAATGATGAGTGGCACAAACAGGTGTATTTGGTGGCCTCGGCCAGAATTGCGGCCATTCTCCAAGATCATGAGCACTACATGCATGACAAAATGGCTGCAGTTGAGGCTGAGTTCAAGATCAAACCGAAAGCACCTAAGGGCCGCATTGAGGTGATGCAACAACTCACACAGCGCCTGGCAGCCCCTGGGCAACATCAATGGCAGCTGAAAGGAAGTGGAGTGAAGTGCCGGGCATGTGGGATGAACATCAAGGCATGTTCAACGCATGCAGAAATTGAGAAGAAGGATGGAACCATTTGTGCTGGCTTGATGAAAAGCACGCTCACACAGCAGATGACACAGCTCGTCGAGGAGACCGAGCAGCTCCCGGAGGAGACACCGGGACATCGCTGGGTTTTGAGGTCCAGTGCCTTTAGCTGCAAGAAGTGTTGGCAAAAGGTGGCACGCAGATGCGGCAAAGATGCACTACAGGTCCTGGTCAGATCTCCCTGCAAGTTTGAACCAATCCATGAAGGGGATCTTCGGCTTCGCACCCGGCTGCACCACAGTCATGCTTTCTGGAGAAGAAGTGAGTGGATTGCATGCGCAAAGTGTGGCCGCAGCACCAAAGAAATTGATGGCAAGGTGCAAACGTGGACCTCCCAGCCTTGCAAACATGGGGATGGCCAGAGAAAACTTTCTCTTGGGCCAAGCTCGAGCAGCTAGGCGCTGCTGGTTGTTTGTAGAGGTGCCTTCAAGGAGAATGAGCCTTGGGCATGTCGACAGCCGCTTTTGGCCTTGAACGCAGGCTGCGGCTAGAAAGCTGGAGGTGGAAAAGAACCGAGAAAAAAAAAAAAGAGCGAGAGAGCGAGAGCGAGAGCGAGAGAGCGAGAGCGAGAGCGAGAGCGAGAGCGAGAGCGAGAGCGAGAGCGAGCGAGCCTAGAGCCCGGACGCTCAATAGAAACTGCCTCGCGGGTTTCTTCGCCGCGGTATGTCCATGATGAAAAGAGGCCGGCGCCGGGGTGGAATACAGCCCCCATACCACCAAGCAGGTTGACAGCACCACTGAGGCGACCGAAGGATAAGCTGGACACCCACAAAAAAGCCACACTCTTGACCTGAATTGAACCTGAATTTAGGAAGGTTGCAGAGGGGTTTTGATACATTTTCTCCAAAGACCCCAGACATTGAAGGACCTTATAGCAAAAAAGATTGCCATGTGAGCGACCAATGCTTCGCTTCACTAAGGCCGGTTCTTCACCCAACAGCGACCCAGCTAAAGAAGCCCAGCACTTTGGCGGAGACAAAACCTCTAGCTCTTCGGCATGCCGTTGCCCGTTCCGGTCTATCATAGAGCAGTTTGTGGCACATCCTCCTCCATCACCAGCCTGGACGGTGTCCAGCGCACCAAAGGTGTGGGAGCAGGTGCCCTTGGCCTCGGCTGCAACGGCTTGAGGTGGAAGAATTTCTCCAAAAGGATTCGAACAGCAGGTTCGTGCATTAGCTATGGTTTTGTGGCTGACTCGGCCAAAAGAATGCAAGAACAAGGACAAACATGTGTAACATGTGACCAAAACCAAACAAATCGCAAGTGCGGGACATGCAGAAAGTCTCAAGAACCACAGGTCCATTCAAACCTCCTTGTGGTTACGCTTTTGCGCCACCTCTTAGTAGGCTCCAGTTGTTCCAGCTCAAACGCTACCGCTCTGGTCCCCTACCTGGTGCTCACGGAGCATCTTATAGAGCTTCTCCGACACCTCCAAGCACGGCTCTGGTCGCAAGACATTCATCTTCTTGGCTTTCATAGATAGTCAACAAGATACACCTGGATTTGACCATGATGGCCCCATCTATTCTTCCACCTCATGCAAAACAAACGCCTCGAACGCTTACCGAACACCCCCCGTTCGTCGCCTTGGCGCCGTTGAAGTACATGGGGAAGGTGCCCTGTAGCTTAACCACATCCTCCACCTGGGCGGCGGTTGGGTGTGACCCCCGGGAGATGATGGGGTGTGGCACTTGGGGTCTTCGTGGGTCCGAGGCGACTTGGGAGGTCCACCCGTGGAGTAACCGGTGCTCCGCCAGAGCAGATCAGAGCTCTGATCGCTGAGGCGGCCTGGGATCTGCCTCTTCCTGAGGCGAACAAAGGGGCACCGATGGAGCTCTTTCTGAGGCGACCTGAGGTCTTCCAGGTTCGCCAACAAGCTCAGCTGTTTTCTTTGCGCACAAAACACCTGAGGCGACCTGGGTCCCTATCTCTCACACAGAAGGGGCACCAACAATCAGTCTCACAGCCAGCGATCAGTCTCACGGCTTCCCTTCCAACAGAAACCAACGAAAACGTCGCCGCAAACGCCACGAACATCGTCCCGCGCCGCGGGGCAGGACCTTGTAGGGTCGAGTGGTGTGCTTAAAGCGCTCGCTGCTCATGAACTCCTTCATGACCTTCACGCGCGCTTGGAAGTCCGCATCCTCATTGGAGGACACCGCACGCATCTCGAGGCCGCCAGAGACGGCAGCATCCTGGGAGGAAGTCAATGACCGGACATAACGAGACATACTGACCACCTGCCCGTAAGTGTTTAGGTCCAAGTAGCACCAGCCAGGATGTGCTGCTCAATGACGTTGAGGCGGCCAGCCATGGTGTTGGATCAGCAATGGGGACGAGATGAGACTTTGGAGCAAAGACGCACTGCGGCGGCGAGCGCAGGCTGCTAAACAAGCCCCACGCCCCAGCAATTGTATAAGTGTTAAACTTGTCCTTTAAGGTACCTTCCCTGAAATAATCATGAAAGTGGAAAAACCACCTGTTTGTAAAGAAAAATGGTCAGGGGGTTATACAGCAGAATCTTCTTTGACTGGATGATGATATACCATGGCTTCCCCTGTGCCTTTGTTCCTGCATCATCCGGTTTCCCCATTCACGTGGACGTGGCTGTCTCTTGCCAAAACCGATATCAAACACAAAACTGATGCTCAATGCAACTCAGCCACCATCGCGAACCACCCTGTGGGCAGGACGAAGCAGAATTCGCGCTTCTGGACTTGTTCCGCCCTTTTTTGCTGTGCCGCGTTTCTCTTGAATCAGACCAACACCACCTCGGCAAATATGTTCAGAAACGTTGTGATGACCACTTCCCCGCTTGTCTGGACCCAAGGACTTGGGACGACCTCTTCCACCTCCATCCCACCCGACCTCCACGCACCTCCCGGCCTTCACACGGGCCGCCGACGGCCGCGCCGAGTGCGCAGTGAAGGGATGGGAGTCTATGGAAGGAATGGGCTACTTCACTCAACGGGCTGCACTGAGATGACTGGGCACGTTGCTACTGACGTAAGAAGCGGTGTTTGTGCGGTGGAAGGCCGGAGAAGCAGCTTCACGCACGCCGACTTGGTGACTGTCCATACTAGAGTGGCATGCCATGCTTGTTGCGATCGGCCCATTGCTTGGTACTATAGCAGCTTACGACAAGCTACATGACCTTCACCATACATTCTTTTCTTTGCATTTGTAGGCTCAAAGTGCACACGTTGTTCTTGCAGTGGCTCAACTACACTGATCGCTTTCTCTTTAAATGTTTATGTCCCTAAAGGATCTCTTGCTTCAACACCTCGAGTTTGAGCACGAGGCGATCCAGCTGAGCCCCTTCCGCCGCACGTGCCGCTTCGCCTCCACGTGCCCTTCGAGAAATCGGTCTCCCCAAGGAGTCCCGTCCAGCGAGCCCGTCCCAATGATCCACATTCCCAGACACATCACCCGTCATCATCCCTGCACTTCCACCGTCCAGACCTTTCCGCCCTGTCTGCCCTCCTCTCTGCCCCGCTTCTCTCAGGTCCCATTTTCCGCCGCTCGGAAGGGCTCCGGGCTCGAGGCCCAGCCTGGGCGGAGGGCGGAGGCGGAGCTGGAGTGGACCGAGCCTCAGCTGGGTTTGATGTCCAGGGGCGGCAGCTGTGACCTCCCTGTGGTCTATCCCAGGTCCCAGCAGAGGTTGAAGAACCCTATACACTAACCTATAAGGTCACAGACCACCTCTGTAGGTCTGTCGAACTGTCGAGGAAGGTATATCTATGTTGGTTTCTCTCCGAGGAACTCGCGCCGAGGAACCCGCGAGTCACCTCCGCCGCCACTGCGGCTACATGTCCTCGGGGTCTTCGTCTGAGAGCGGCAGGTCCTCAGGAGTCACCTCTCCTTCGCCGACGCCGTCAGACCTCGTGCGGAACGTCAACCCCCCGGAGGGGCGCTGTACTGGGGTAGACGGATTTTGAATGGAAAGCGCCTCTTCATGGGCTTGGACCTTCAAGGGGTGTCCAATGGAGGGGCTTCCACTGGTGAGCCCTTTGAAGGTGCTGGGGGGCTTGATGAATCAAGAGTCTACATTGTGTGTTCATCCTGGTGCCATCGAGGGAGCCGCGTCCCATACCCTAGCATCCAAGAGTGCGTGGACTTTCGCCTGTATGGGACCTTACAGGAGCGGTCATGGGGGCAGTATTGAGTTCAGTTCAACCCCTGTAGGATTGGGTTAGCTACTTCCCAGCCCATCCCAGCCCAGGGAGGAACCGAAAACAAACGAAAACACACGTGACCAGGCTCCACGCCTATGGAGAAGACCCACCAACTCCTGCCGCGTTCGGTCCCTTCCGTTCCTCGAATGTTTCATGCACATCAAGGTGCTGACCCGTCATTCTGCACGCAAACCTTCGGATAGCTTCCATCCCCCCAAACAACAAAACTCGTACCAGGAGTCACAAGACGTGGTGGCGTTTAGTCCTTGAGTGAGTGGATGTTCTAGGCACCCCTAACCTCCATGGATCGCATCTAACCTCCATGGAACTGCTGGTAGGCTCTTGGGTCTTCCATCCACGCCTGGCGTGCGACGCCGGGCCGGCCACACAACCGTCCCGCCTCAGCCACTTCCGGTCGGTAGAAGTGGTCCAGGACCTCCATCTTCACGGCCTGGGCGGCTCAGGGAGTTCAACGATCAACGGATGAGAAAAACCGCGTGGTCGAGCAACCGAGGCCGGCTTCAGGGGTGGAATGGCTGACACCATCCTTGTCGTTGGCTGCCAAATAACAAGAAACAACTGGAGTGAGCACATGTAGGGATTTACATATACTATAGGCTCTATAATATGTATTCCTGTAGATCCATGTAGAATGCTATAGATACATCTCCGAAGATCTCACACTTCTCCTGCTTCCTGGTGCCACTGACTGCTCGTTCAACCGTCAGTTCTCCCCCCGAAACATCCCAAGGCACAGGCCTCGGCCGGAAGCGTCCCCCACCCTTCCGTCCCAGCCGCCCGGGCCATCCGGAGGTGGCCCAGCTCGAAGCAGCAGAGTCGGACCCGCATAGGGTCCTGGCCGATGGAGGCCCGGCGGAGGCCGGTGGGCCACCACGCAGCACCACGCAGCACCAAACGAGACATACGTGACAGACGGGACACATGGGAGCGCTTTCCATGGAGCTCTTCCATTCAAGCATGAGCTCATGCTTCACACTCAAGCTTCACATTCACCCCAAAAAAAACCGCCTGCACCCATCACCTTGGATTTGCTTAAGGAACCTCGAACCAGGTCGAATTCTTCCCCAGGCACCGGGGGGATTTCCACCCGTTCGGGACGACTACCCCAGCACCCACTGCGCTAGTGCCCAGCTCTTAAGCTGGGGGCACCTAGGACACCCCAGAATTCATCTTGAAAAGTCTTGGAGTACACATGCACCACCCAAACCATTCTTCCGCACAGGCACAAGCCACCACACATGTCCACAAGAACACCCACTGGCGCGACAGAGGCGCCGTGGGGTGCGCGCAGAAGTCCCAGTAGACGCTGCGCACCGCCGCCACGGCGACGAACTGCACCGGGATGCCGATGCCGCCAGTGCACAGAGTGGGCATCGAGACGCTCCGATAACCGGCGGCGCGCCTGGGAAGGGAGAAGAGAAGCAGATGACCACCATGCAGTGCCAGCCATGTTACTCTCAAGATGGTGTTATTTTGACCATCTGCTATTGAAGGTGGAGCTCAATCTCACCCGCAAAACCAAAACCAAAGGGAACCTGGAGAAGCTGCCTTCCACGCTGATCCCTGCCATCCGGGCGGCACGGTGTGCAGGAGGGCCGCGTGCAAACGAGTGAGCCACCTTGGCGCGCGGCTTCCGAAGGGTTTCCAGGGTGACCTGGTCGGTCACAAGTTCTGCTAATTTCTGCGCCTCTCGGACCAAATCGTCCAGCAAAGGTTGGTAATTCACCCTGAATGTGATGAAGTTCAATAGGAATACTTATACATACCACGACCATCCAAGGGGGTGCCCAATAGAGATTCATAGATTCATGTCATAGGTAGTGTAATTAGGGTAGTCCGGGCACCCAGACAGGATGCTCCTGGTATGTCCTGGATGGGAATTCGGTGCAACAGGCAGCCAGGACCCTTAAGCCCTGCGCGATGGGTGTCAGTGTGGACATGTCCGAAGAAAAAAGAGAAAAAGGACGGCCCAGCGAGCTCATCACCAAAACCCCGCATTTGCTCGGCCTTCTCGGCCAGTCCCGGCCTAGTTAAAGCTTTGTCCCAACGACATCAGCGAGAGACGGTTTTCGCATCGTGCCCGGACCCAGTGGAATGAGGTATGTTCGCATCTTCACTTGGGCTACTTTGGGGACAATATATGAGCTTATCAGCCAAGAATCTTATTATATTATTTCTTGATGTTAGGACTGGTTCTCGCTCCTTCATTCATATCTGACTGCTCCTACTCAACTGCCTGCTCTGGGGGTGATTCAAACAATCCCACACGTCAAGACCAGGTGCGACATGAGTGTTCCATGGCGCTGCTCATCGCCCTGACAGGAGCAGGAGGCTTGACCCCGAGGTCGTCCGGTGGGTCGAGCTGATGTGTTTGTGCCACCGCTACGACCTCCGTTGGCTTGATCTGCCAAGACCTCCAGCAACCAAAACCTCAAACGAAATCGTATCTTGAAAGAAAGCGATGTCTTTTGAGGGATGGACCATGGCATGCAACACACCGGGTTCCGAAATCTTAAAATCTCACTATCGAGTCGTTTTCGTTCTCCTCCTCGCCCAGCTGACCCCGCCACGTAGGGCATCTGGAAGATCTGCAAGACCTCGTAGGGAATCTCGGTCACCGTCAGGGCCAGCTTCTCCTGAGAGTGTGCGAGGAGTGAGGGAGGACTCCTCGACACCGCGTTGAATGGGGACGCGGAGCGGACCCTGCGACCGGGGGGGGGCGGGGAGGAGCGGACCCGCAACGAATCCGAAGAGGAGGCGCATGTGGTAAGGCGGACGTAAGAAGAACTCCTTGGAATCCGGCCAATTCCCCCTCCCACTCGGACCATTGAAGTAGGGGGACCTCCAAAGACCCTCTGGAAGAAGGGAAATAGACCAAAACATACTGAAAGCCCATTGGGTTTGAAAGACACACCCAGATGATACCAGCCGGCGACCACCGGCGCGTCGTCATGGTCACAGGACTCCAGGAGTTTCGACCTCCACTTCCAAGGGAGCAGACCCACAAAAACCTGCGTTGAGGCTCCGCCAGCAAGCCACCATGCACCTCAGGCGGGTGCTCAGGCGGGTGACACTGCATGTGGCAGTAGAACGCCCGGTGGATGATGGGAACAGATAGAAGAGACTAGGAGACAAGGGGAAACAGCTAGCAGGGTTTTTGGAGGCTCCGGGTTTGGATCCGAAAACCGGGACAACACCTGAAGCGGCTCGACGACCCTTCTTGTGGGTGAGTCGGGGCGGACGGGCCTCCAGATCCCACTCCGAGCCCCCACTAGCACCAGGATGAATCGATGATCAAACTGGTTGGAACCTGCCCCTGGCGCATCCACAAGACGGAGCCGCTCCTTGAATGATCTCCAACCCTAGAAATCCCAAGGATCTTCCTTCTCCTTGCTGTGTTGGACGCCTTCAAAACCCACCATCACCTGATCAGGGCCCTGACCAAGGTCACAAGGTCCAGCTCGTTCAGCCTTTCCGCCCGCAGTCGGGCGATGGCGTCCTGGAGAACAGGCCGCCCGTCTGACTCGTCAAGGGCGGGTGGGGAATTTGGGCACCCTGAGAGTCCTAGACTCCTTGTTGAAAGCTCTTATATATGTCCCAGGGGCCCTCAAAACCATGAAAAAGATTGAAAAATAAAGGTTTTCACATACAAAAACCATGTTTTTGCCTAGGGAGAACCAGGTTTTTGATGGTTTGTGGGGCCCCTGGTCTATATATGTTCTTTGATTAAGGCTTAAGGGTGACCTGATTGAGGGAACTTCCAGCAACTTCACTGGGGTCACATCTATCACAACCCTTTCGTATGGCGTCAGGGACAAACTTGGAACAGGAGGAAATGATTTGGGCAGTGGAAATCGTGGCTGGTCCTTCACATCATAGCCCCTGACATGTTCGACCCAAGAACGGATGAGGTTCCACCGAGCCGCCCTAACAACCGTAAGAAGTTGAGAGCATTTGGGCTGAGCGGGAGGCCTTTTCCATGATTGACCAGACCCGCGCGGCTGCGCCGGGCTGCGCCCAACCAAACAGACCTCACTTGGGGTCCCGGTTTTGGCCCCGCTGACATCGTCAACACCCTGTGCCCACCACTGACATCGTCTGGCATCGGCACCTGACAGACCAGAAGCCCCCTGCGACCCTCGCGGGCGCTGATGCCAGATGCGGCAACGTAGTGTTCCTTTAGGGATCACGAGGGTATAATAGTATAAGGCTAGGAGATGCTAAGACAATACCAGTAGGCCCCAAAAACTGACCAAATACATCCAAAAGACCCAACACCTCCAACTACCCGTCCAAAAGCACTGGACTTCCTTCGCTTTCGCTCCGACACCCCACGCCTCGGCGGCCGGCCCGGCCACGTGGCGCACGGCGCCCTGCGCGCCCACGTTCACGTTCCTGGACGGTCGCCGGTCGTGGCCGGGTCGGCACTGAGGGAAGCACCGAGGGTCACCGAGGGTCACGGGGGAAGGATTTTCGGAGCGCAAGGGATGGAACAACTTCCGCACGTAGCAAGAGAAGGACGGAGGAACTTCATGGAGGACAAAGAATCTGTGAAGCAAGAAGCTGCTGGACTGCTGAATATCGTCTGAACTATTCATAACTCATTCACCCCTGCCGATGCTGCGACGACGCTGCTATGTTTCTCCGGCCACTTCCTTCTAATGCCCTCAAAAAGACCCATCCACCGCATTCCGATTCCCCTCGGCTGCCATCGTTTGCATTTGTATCTTGAAGGGTGTCGCCTTCGTGTTTCTTCGCTGCCACAGGCACGTGGCCTGTTTCCATGCGGTGCGTAATGACCAAAAGGATTGGAGCGGGCTCGGGTCCCAAGAGACCAAAAAAAACGATCAACACCATGGCTGGGGCTGGTTGGTAGCTTCGATGGACCAAGCCTCACCCTTGGCTAAAGTAGAAAAATCTGTCCTACTGCCCTTGGCAATCTTCAAATGACCTAATCTGAGGTGCCCATGAGACCAAAAGCCTTCATGGCTCTCAGCACCTGCGCCAGTGCTCAGGCCTCTCAGAACTGCTTTTCCGTGACACCTGCCGACATGATGCCGGTTGAGGAGAGGCCACCGCTCACAATGTTGCCCATCTCATCCACGATTTCAGATCCACTCCACTTCTGGTGGGTCAGGGTCTCCACCTTGTGCTTACGCTCCTCGCGCTGGATCATCTGCACATAAGCAGCGGCGCCACGCTTGCTGTACTCCTTGGCGAAGAGGTCGATGTTGAGCGCATCGCAGTGGAAGCCAGCCAAAGTGATGAACTGCCAGCAGAAGCCGAGCTTGGCAAGATCCCAGATGAAGGACTCCATCTGCCCATCAGTCATCCCAGCACTGTCCCAGTTGAAAGATGGGCTCAGGTTGTATGCAAGCATCTGGTGAGGCACAGCAGCGCGCACTTCTTTGGCAAACTGAGTGGCCTGCGCAAGAATGGGCTTTCCAGTCTCCATCCAAATGCTGTCAGCATATGGTGCAAATGCAATGGCACGCTCGATGCAGAACTCAGTGGAGCCCTTGATACGGAAGTAGCCCTCAACAGAGCGGGCAGAATCCCAGTCAAAGAAAATGTCGCAGCCCATGCCTGCTGCGGCCTTTCGCATCTGATCCAAGGACATCTTGCGCGCATCTTGGAGCCACTTTGCAGGGTCCTGGCCCTTGGCTTTCAAAGCCTTGGCCACAGCATCGGGGAAAGTCATGCAGCCAGACCTCTCTTCCCAATCCTTGTCGGTGCCCTTCCTCATGGCCTCGTACAACGGCTCAACGCCCTTGACGGTGACACCCTTGATGTGTGGATGATCAACCGGATCCTGAGCGACCATTCGAGCGACCCCCGGAATCGGCAGTGGAGTTGTGCAAGGAAACGGACTCCATGTTCCAAGTGGTTCACCATGTTGGCACCACATTCCATCACCTTCCTCCCACATCATGTCATGCCTTTTCCTTTAAAAGTACGCCGTGGCTCGATGTTGCTGTCGATCATGGTGGCCGCCTCGGCATCGGTACGGGCCACCAGCACCAAAGGAGAGTTCAGCACGTCAGCCTCACAGTCCGAACACATGCGGAAGCGCGACTAAGGGGCAGAGGGGGTAGACCATGCTAAACTTGAAAGCCCCTCAAAATAGCAAAACAACATCGTGACAAAATTAACAAGCGCCTGTGGGGGAGTATCTATTTAGGGGTGTCCATGAAAACCACCCCGAAACTTTGGGGTCCTTGAATCTATAGTACCTCATTGGTCATAAAAATCGGTCCTTCAAAGGTGAATCATTACCCGAGAGCTTGGGATGGTCCCATCTGACATGACCCTCTTTGGGTTGAAAGTTCTACACACCCAGTATGAACCATGCTGAACCATGTATGACTGTGGGGTGTGCATGTTCACCTCATCCACTTTGCAGCAACCACACCCGTTCGGATGCGACTGAGCCGTCTGTCCGATCGGCCTGCAAGCGGATGGCGATCAAGCGCTGGATGTGCTCCTGAAGCGGCGCTTGAAGCGGCCAACTCTCGGAGGGCCCGGCCCTCTCGCGTCGCGAGACGAACCCGGAGGAGGTGGGGTCACGACGAGTCTCACCGGTTCTCCCGACCTCTTCGGCGCAACAGGACTGGGTGGGAACCGCGTGGGGAGGTGTGAACGTCCGGGGGCCGAAGCCCCCGAAACCAGTCCCCCCGCGCCAGGGGCGAAGCGGGAGAACGCACCGTGAATCGCACGCAAGGGCCCCTTCTTGCCGTTGAACGGGCGCGTCCTGGGTGGAGACCAAGACCTTGCCACCCATGTGGCCGCACTTCTTGGTGCCAGGCTTCTGGTCCTGGAGCCACGCGGGCGGGAGAGGTCGACCGTGAACACGGCAGAAGGCACCCGGAGTGAACAAGCGAAGGGGGTCAGGCGAAGAGGTCGACCGTGAAAACGCCACGGGGAAGACCAACGGGAAGACGGCACGTCTCAAACTAACAAACATGTTCCTGGTTCTTCAAAGTGACCTTTTGATGTCCTAAGGGTCACTTAGGAACCTTCAAAAGGTCACTTTGAAGAAGCTGGTTTGAACATTTCTCCAAATGAAAGCTCCTTGGAAGGCCTTGCTGAAAACAGGAAGTCACACTCAGACGAGTATAACCGATCATGAGGAGTACGAAATCCCACAATCAAAAGGATAAATCTTCTGGGTGGCGCTGGTCTCTACACCCGCTCAACTATGCCCCCACTCAGCCGTTTCCAGCCATCCTCGATGTGGATGCCAGCGGCCCCGTTCTCAATGAACATCTTGGCGAGCTTCATGGTGGCGGTGATGCCACCGTGTCCGGTGTCAGCGTCGGCAATGATAGGATTCAGGTAGTCCTTGGATTCAACATATTCAACAGCCTGCCAGGGCTGGTGCAATGATTACAACCTCGGCATGCTAGAAACTGGACAAGCCAAGCGGGACGGCTTTCAATCCTGAAATCTTCCTAAACACCTGTCCAGCAATGTCTGCCAAGGCTCCACCACCGGAGTCTTCGCACGCTCCTCGGCGCTCATGCGGCGGCGCTCCTCATACTGCTTGCGGTCATGGAAGAGCTGGGCACGGAAGAGCTGGTCCACCTGCCATGGGAAGAACGACTTCGGGTAGCAGGCGTAGCAAGCACACATGGAGGCAAGATCTGCCGAAGCAACCTCCCAGCCAAACAGCTGGGGCATTCCAACCTCAACCACTTAAGTGCGCAACTCATGCGTGCTGTGAGCATGCGCGCACGAGCTTTGGCGTGATCCCGGTCTTCTGAACTGGAGGTCCTTTTTGAAGGGAGCGCTTCCATGACTCCCTTCAAGGCTCCCGTCCCGTCTGCAGGCCTCTCTCATCACTCCCAGTTGAGTCTTACGGTTGGGATCTTGATCTCCACTATGAAAAGAAGGGTCTGACAAATTACAGTAGTGGGCCTGAAAGTGGGCCTGAAAGAGAATTTCCCATGACTTCTTCAAGGAAAAAGAATTGCCTTTTGACTTCGAGGGTTCTCAAATCGCATCAACTCCCAATTTCCGCCTTGTTGGGCACGGTGTCATAAGGGTAGTCAGCCACATCCGGGCCGGGCTCGTTGGAGGTGGAGGCCGTCGAGGAGCACTGCCAGCCGCTCACGTAAACGGAGGTCAAGTACTTTGCCATCTGAGTGACCTGCCAGGATCTAGCACAACGCCACGCAAACAGATTTTTATCCAAGATGCAGCATACATCTGGATGGTGGCCTTTTCCTGAGTAAGTGGATAGCGAATCATGGGCCACCGCTATCATCCAATCTCGCCATTGAACTGTTGGTATCTGTGTAAAAATGCTACCACCAAGGACTAAGGAGCAACAGGAGAGGACTCTTCGACCCCACACGGCCACGGCTGCACCTGGACGGTGTCGAGTGCGCCAAAAGTGTGGGAGCAGGTGCCCTTGGCCTGCGAGGTGGTGTGGGAACATGAGACAGGCTTTAGGATTGGGAGAGGCGTTGCGATCTCAAAGATTGGAGGCTCAGTGGCTTAGTGGCCCACAATCCCTGTCCAAACCAGGGCCCCTAAGGAGTGTGGACACACCTTGACCCCTAAGGAGCTAGTATTCTTAGACATCCCTGGGGGGGGCGCTGGAAAATGGATGTTCAGTGGTGTCCTCAATGCTGCCACTCAAATGCAGGTTCCGACCCCGGAGCCATCAACCCGAACCCGAACTCGACGTCGGTACGTCGGTACGTCTGGGCCACTCCTGGTGCTCACGGAGCATCTTGTAGAGCTTCTCGGAGACCTTGGGACCACTGAGCGATCGAAAGAGGTGCTTTTTGGGGGTCGAAGGTGCGGTCTGATGACAGAGATGTCCGTTCAGCTCCGGTGTCCCGGTTCCCCGGTTCGGCGGCACGGTTTCTACGAACTTCTATCTATGACAGGGGGTCTCTTGATTGGCCCTTGAGATGTTGATTGGCCCAAAGTGGTGGAAGGACTTGCGATCAAATTGGCAACCAGAACCTTTACACCCGGGAAGGCTAACATGGAACCTGATGGCATGGACCTTTGGAAGACGATTTTCCTCTATAACCTAGTGGTTTCAGGTGGGGCGACCCATCCACGGTGTACAAGTTTTGCAGTTCAACCATTCTGTCCGACTGGAACTTGAACTGCAAACCGCTCGAGCCCATCCGGAAGTGGCATACCTGTGTTCCACAAGAGTATTGTTGGACTGTTATCACTGTTATCCCTGCTCCGTTCGTAGCGATGCCCTTTGGCTACTCGTAGTCATGCAGCCGGAGAGCCTTTGCGCCGTTGAAGTACATGGGGAAGGTGCCCTGCAGCTTCACTACATCCTCCACCTGGCACGAACCAAAGGTCTGAGCGGCTGCGACGGCCAAGACCCATGGATTACAATGAACATCCAAAACGGTTGAGTTTCTCACGCAACAAATTATCATAAAAGTATGTGTTTTTGGGACTGTCCTATCCCTCCATTTTCTCAAGAAAACCACTGGGACTCTCACCACGTTCGCGCCACGCGCAGTGGACGCGCCACGTTCGACCTTGTAGGGTCGGGTGGTGTGCTTAAAGCGCTCGCTGCTCATGAACTCCTTCATGACCTTCACGCGCGCTTCGAAGTCCGCATCCTCGGAGGCCACGGGGCGCATCTCCAGGCCGCCAGAGACGGCGGCATCCTCGGCTCACGAGCTCGCTGCCATCTGTCCCACCTTTTCGATGTTTGGAAGGCTGGCGAAAACAGACACTCTCAAGGACCGTAGGTCTGCACGGTCCAGACTTATCGGATTGAAAAGAAGAACTCCATATCTCTTTCTGATCTTGGATGACCCATCCTTCCCCTACCGGAAGAGCGGGACATCCGATCCATGAGTTCGGGCATTCCGACGTCCGGACCGAGTGACGGCCGGGGGTGGACGGCTCTTTCTCTGTTTCTTGGGCGGGTCTCTGTCGAGTTACGGTGTGCTTGTTCGTTCTTTTTTGCCTTTTCCAGGACCTGACGTGAGAAACTGTAGGTCTTTGAAAACCTGCAGGATCTGAAAAGTCTGGAAACTCAAGGTCTCCCCCCCCAGGCACGGCCCAGCCGAGCTGCGCTTGCCAGGAGGTGTCCCTGGATCTGACGAAGGCGGTTGGCCATGGCGCCAAAAACCACGGGGGAGGTGTGTGAGGGCGACAACGCGGGACGGTTGAAAATCGGCTGCGGGAGAAGAAAATGGAACATTGGAAGTGGAAACTGGCAAGCACTCTCGTCGCCATGCTCTTCACCGTCTTCTTAAGCTCCGGTGGTTGGCTTCCCTTGCTTCCCTCACGGGGAAAAAGTTGGAAAAATGCCCTAGCAATTCCCCAGCAAACATAATTTAATCAAGGTAAACACAATCAAGGTAGAAAACAATGGTCCACGAGTCTTCACAACTACCCACAGTGTCCAGGATTTCCCTCCTCGCTTCAGACAAGACTCGCCAAGTTTCGTGCCACAGGGCAGGCAACCACCTGAACTGCTCCACTTTGTCTGGGACAGGTGGGAGTTCCTCAAAACCCACAAGGTCGTCGAATGAGGAGAATCTTCACTTGGATCTTGATTAATGCCCATGAACAGCGCAGAAGGCGCTAACAACGTGGGCCGAGAGCAGCATCTTTGCTATGCGAAACTCTCACCCTTGGATCATGGACTCCAAAAGTGAGGGAATGGACTTCCAGGATGTCCTAGGTCGTCGTCTTGGGCGTAACATCTCCTGAAAAAGTGGATAGTGATCCTCCCTGCCCCTCGCTCCTGCCAACCCCTAATTTGACTGTACACATCTCAAGCCACTGACCACCATGAAATATGTCCCAAAAACCTTAGTGCAAGGCTAGTTTCGTAGCACGCAGCACGACCGTCTTCTTTTTTCCCCATCACTTCCCCCACGACTCCAACCATATCCGCAGGTGGCTAGACCCCAACCATCTTGTCAGGAGGCAGGCCAGGAGCCCTAGGGCCCTAGGGTTCAGTCACTCTCCCTTCTGCTGAGCATCCCCGAAGCCACCAGACTGCTGATCCACGCCTCACGGGTCCCGCAGGGGTTTTCCCGGGTCACGCGGGTCACGCGGCCCAATGGAATCCCGGTTGGACATGCCTTGGGGGGGTCCTGCTACCTGCACGGATGATGCGACCGCATCGTGACTGCGGCGGTCTCCCATCAAACAGCGGTCGCTTCGCCCCTTGACCGAGGACAACATAGCAGAACCAACAGAGGTTGAAAAACCCTAGTTCGACTATTAGTGACTATCCTATAGTTTGCCCAGTAGGGCCCTATAAGGTCACTTAACCTCTGTTGGGAATACCAAGCACCCTTCTGAGCCCCGCGCCATGCCGCTCCGGTCCAAGTTCGCTCCGCTCCACGCCCGCGCTTCGTCGCGCCCGCGGCTTCGCGCCCGCACCTCCCTCCACCAGCTCGAAGCTTCGTTCGAAGAGCCGCTTCAGACCACGTGCCACGCCTGCTTTCAGCGTTTTGGGTGGACCGCGTGGGCCACGTTTTGGAGAATTCGGGAGAGGTGCTAAAAAGATCGGAAAAAATATAAAATGACCCTGTACCACTTGTGACCGAATAAAAACACCACAGCCTCTTCATCGCAGAGAGCCAGAGAAGTTCTGGACAAGTGAGTCCTAGCCTCCTAGCTTGAGGCTAATCTCTTCAACCTCAAGGCTTGCATCACTTGGAGGTGCTCGCCTCTCCCATTGCCTTCTCCATGTATCCCGGCACACTCTCCTCTCCAATGCCTCTCCCCCGTTCCCCCCGCGACCAGGTCGCGACCGGGTCTCCAGGCGATAGAGATCCAGGCCATCCAACAGCGAGTGCGTGGCTCGGACCACCTGCACCGCCGCACGCCCGTGGCCACGCTGCAGCAGGGTGAGCCAAAGGGAGCGAGCCTGGCGGGGCCGGCGGGCGTATTGGGGCCTGCACAGATATTTGCTGGTATTATGCAATGTTGGGTTATACTGTAGTACATTACAGCATGTTACATTATACTATATTGTATTGATATATTATATATTACACTCCCCCAACCATCCTCCCAAGATTCTTGCCCCTCCCCACCTGGTCTCACCCAAATGGAAGGCAGTTTCTAAGAAGGCTAAAAAATGGCCTTCGACGTCCGAAAGACTGACTCCTGGTTCAGCTCAACGCCTGGTTCAGCACACCCCCTGACCCAGACGAAACCACTCCCCTCCTCCGCGCAAAGGCACAAGGAGACCCGCAAGGCCCTGGAACTCGCACCCAGCGCGGCCACCGTCCTGGTGTCCGCGCGGCGATTGGGCCGAATTCCCTTCCAAATGGGTTCTGCTTATACGCTCCAAAAAAAAACAGAGAAACACCACACCGCCACACAACCAAACACAGCCCAAAAGACACCTTCGAAAAACGGAAGCACATGTTGATTACATCATGTTCCAGCATCTTACTTTCTCAGCTGCTACCCATATCATCCGTCAATTCCCATAAGGACCACCTGACTTAGGGTGGTTTTCAAAAGCACACCATCTACAACCGACCACAGCACCCACACCATCGCCCGTGCGCGTTCGTCGCCGTTCTATCCCCGCCGCCTGGCTGGCAAAGCCACCGCCACGCGCTGAACCTCAGGTACGCGGATTTCGGTCAGTGTGGTGACCGAAAAAAAAATGATGAAACCAAATGGAGCCCACGAAGAAAAGGCTCTACCCCGAAACCCCCAGCGCCCCTCGTGAAACGAGAACCCTTCGCGACAAGGACTGGACGTCAAACCCCCAGGAATGCTGGAATGAGAGGAAAGCCTGGAATGGAATGAAAGCCTCATGCTGGAATGGGGCAACACCTCCCGAGCGGAGGGCCAAAAGCAGCTCGGCGTGTCCAATCACGCCTGGACACGCATCCTGCACACATCGGCGAAGAAGGAATGGAACCTAGCCTTGGAAAAAATGTCATGAAGGGATTCTATCATCCTGGTTCTTCAAAGTGACCTTTTGACATCCTGGTTTGAGGTCACTTAGGCCTGTAACAGGTCACTTGGCGACTCCAAAAATGTCAGTTTGAAGAAGCTGGATATTTTATAAGTAGATATAGCCTGTGAAGTTCACAGAATAAGCACAGACTTACAACCACCTGTGAAAGGGGTTCGATCATATTCTATAAGCACCCAACTTCACAGGTCACCACCTGGAACGTTGGGTAAGTCTGATATACCTGGCCTCCATTTGGGAGACCTGTTGATCGTGGGGTGCTGAAGGCAGCGACGCGACCCACCCGCAGGATTCATCAACCATTCTCCACCGCTTCAGGCCGCGCACCACACAAGCAGGGAGGTCTCGAAAATGGCTTTCCGACTTCAACCAAGCGGATTCATCAGAGGTGTCCTCAGCGCCCAGGTGGGGCCGCAAACTTGAGAGAAGGGGTACGGTAGCTACACAGCGAATGCTAGCGACCATCCTCCGCCTCACATCCGACGTCGCTCTGATTGAATATCGTCATGGTCCCAGGCACTCTCTACATGGTCCCATGTATTGCCTCCTCTTTCCGAACTTATCCGAACTCGTCTCGAGAAGATCGTCCACCTTCACCCCCGTTTCGAGGGTTTCGAGGGACGGGAGCTCGCAGCGCTTCGGGCTTCAAGAGCATCGACACGCCGTCCACCTTCACCTGGAAGCGGCCTCCACGTGCTGAAGCGCGATGTGACCGGCCCAAACGAGTACACCATCAGTCAAGGACCGCGCGGTGCTACGGACCGTGCGACGGAGTGTCTAGACAGATCTGGAAAAGGGGTACATCTGGAAAAAGGTGCTGGGGCCATAAGGTTGTTCAACCCCTTGTAACTCGTAACCCATGTAACCCATAGGGGTAGAGAGTCACCATGCTCGGTTCCATTCCTCAACAAGCAAGAGTTTTTGAGGCTCCGGAACCTTCCAACTATGAAAGCTGGCCTGGCCTGCGATGCCTGGCCCAGTCCTTACAATCACTAACACCTGCTTTGACGGTGCCACTACCAACCTGCACCCACCGGTACCGACGCACCCACCCGGTGCCCAAATGCCTCGGTTGGCATACCAATCCACCACCTGACACCGCGCTGCAGTCGAGGAGGACTCTGCAAAGCTTGATGCCAAGTCTTCCGACAGACTTCGGGCGCCATCTTTCACCCCGTCCCAGCCAAATGCACATGCCTTCTGAGAAGGTGATTGGAGACCGCTCGTAAAATTCGTAAATACCTTCACTGGACAGGTGGCAGTGGATCAGTACAAAAAAAGAACCCCTACACCGCACATTCCATCGAAAACATCCGCCGTCCAACATCAACCGCGCGCGACACTCGCGCGCGCCCGCGCGCGAGTCGTGACCGTCGCCTCGGCCAACTGGCCGTTCAGGTGCGGCCGCTCCTGGATGCCCTCCACAAGCCTCAAAAGGAACCATGGAGAACGTGGCAGACTCAACGCCTGGAACTCGGGGTGTGGCCGGTGGAACTCAATGCCTGATGGAGGGTGAAGAACCAACTAGACTAAGAACCTCATAAAACGCATGCTGATGCGCACCAGACCATGTCCAGAACCGTCTGACGGTGGATCTTCGCACCCAACTCCTCGCCGCCGGCGACGCCGCCGGGGAAGCTCCCCTGGCCAAGGCGCAAGCATCCATCCGGCGGAAAGACTCCCCCCGGGCGCCCGTAGCACTCCCAGAGCAGCTTCCTCAGCCGGGCGGAACTTCCGAGACTCCGAGACCGCAGTGGCGAAAGAGACTCTGAGGGGTGTGGCGCCTGGTACGTACCAGGCAGGTTCGGTTGAACGGTGCACAGTGGAAGCGAACGCAACGTCCTGAATGGCTTTCCTTGGACGTGGCATTTGGGGAGGATGAAATCCTCATAATACCAAACAGAGGGTGCCATCCACGTAACCATGAGGTTGCAGGGTCTGTGATGACCTCCATTGAAAACATCTTACCAATGCTCATCGCAATTCCCCAACAAGCCTCGACCCACCCAAACCACCAGTCTCAACGCCACCCCTGCACACCCACACACTCATTCGCTCTCTCTCTCTCTCTCTACCTACCTCTCTCTCTGTGTGAAATTCTGAAACATATATACAGAATAGTATGTGTATATATATATATGTGTGTGTGTGTGTTTTTTTTATTTTTTATTTATCTATTTAGTTACTTACGTTTATGAAATCAATACAATGCAATGCAAAACAACATGCTATCATAACTTAACATACTATGTCATACAATAAGATATGTATATAGATATAGGTATACGTGCCAGGTGTGCTGGACCAGTGCCAGCAAGGAGCGGTTGGATTTGAAACCCCGCGGCGTGGATCATCTTCGAGCCATGGTTCGAGCGAGCACACGCAGAGGGTCTGCGTAGACTCCGGGCTCGGTGTCGCTGTGAGAAAAAAAGCACTGAGAGGGCTTGGTGTCGCTGGGATGCATCAACGGTTATTCTGCCCAGCTGGTGGTGCTTCAAAGTTACTCTTGCTGGTCGCTGCACATTCCTGCTGCCGCTAACCAAACCTTGTTGAGCGCTGACTGACTTACTTTCAGCTGACAGTTGTACCCAAGTGAGCCCAAGTGAGCCGGAACGAGTGTCCAACAGTTTCAGGGCACCATGGGACCATCCAAACACCTACACTTCTGCATAGTCAGGCTGCACTGGTTTACAAGGCATGCCGAGTTCAAAAGGAGACCAAAAGAATCATTGCCATTGAATGCATTGGGCCCTCGAATTGCTCAACTCTCCACGAAATGCTGGCTTCCAAAGTCACAAGATTCAGTTCGGCGCAAGGTCCAGTGCCCCAAATTCCCCAAATTCCTTTGTTGCGCTTCGGCGCTAGAACATGCAAACTAGTTGATTCCATCAGCCACCCCAGAAACGAGGTCCTCGTGTCACTATTTGATTCCCACTCAAACCCCTCAGCCCTCCTCCCCTCCTCACCACCTCCCAGCCGTCCCATCGAACTCCACCCGATCCACTCGAATGCACCCCCCCCGGCCATCTGCCTGTTGCGAGGCCTTGGCCAACTGCTTCTGCGCCCAGGTGGACAATTCCAACGCCTGGGGGCAGACCTACACAGACCTACCAGGACCTACCAGGACCTACACAGCTTGGCCGAGTAGAAATGCCCCTGTGACGAAGCGAGGCGTCCGACCTCCTGCACCTGCTCGGCCGCCTTCTACCCCGCAGCACGCTGCACCTGACGTGGCCCACGGAGTCGGTTCGCGATCACCGGTGAAACCGGTGGCGTGTGCGTACCGAACGAGAAAGGGAGGACACCTCTGGAAACAGAACGCGGTGAGGAGCTGTGACTTGAAATGCTCCATGGGTTTTTCCTTCCCCGAAGCGTGCGAACTTGGAGAAGGCTGCGGAAAAGAACCACGACTGGCAGCTGTGTAAACAGAATGCTTTGGGACAGACCCAAGCCTAAGGAGACATGAATGAATGGGTATTAAAATGGGGACGTCCCAAAGACCCCCGGGGTATAAGGGACATAGACCAGTCTACCCCTTGGGACAGGAAGTCTCCCGGATGTAAGATACACGCCTGAATGATGTCTTTGCCCTACTTGCAAATGCGTTGATTTCACCCAAGATCTGCAATTCTAAACCACCGGTTTAACTGAGACGTTCCATTGAAGACCTGACCTGAACACCTGAGGAGTTCCGACCTGAACGCCTCACCTCGGCTTGAAAATCGTGGTGAGGCAGTGGACGATGGGCAGTTTGGGACTTCGCGATCGTGCCCTTGCGGTTTCACAAGCTATCGCCTCACCTCCTGGGGTTTTCAGGCCACCCACCCAGGAGCGCGGAACGGCCTGGAAATCTCCATCGCGGATCTGACGCTGAGCGGCCTTGGTTTCGGAGAGCGCGTACTCGGAGATGCATGGAAGGGTGGAGGGCAGTACTCAGTACTCAGTAGAGGTCATGTTCAAACAAAAGTTGTCGATGTTGTTCGGCTCTGCCAGCTGAGGATGGAAAAAACTGCGACACACTTCGATTGAAAAAGGAGGCATCTCTTTGCTGGGGCATCTCAGGGGCCAAAGGAGGAGCAAACTCCCAAGGCCACAGGCATGTCTTGTCTCACACAACGATGTGAAAGGCGTGCTTCTGACGCTTTCATTCAAGGTCTCTCAAGACACCAGGGCAGCTTGCTTCGAAGCATATCACGTTCATCCAACGCCTTCAAACATGGCCGAGTTGGGAACCGACGAATGTCACAAAGAATGCTAGGATTCCACTCAGGTCACACCTGGAGCGTCCTTCCAAAAAATGATGTGGAGGCGCATGGATCCTGCACCTAGAAAGATTAACATGGAGCCTGAATATGGACCTTTGGAAGACGATGTTCCTCATTTTTCCTCTACAACCGGGTGGTTTTCGGGTTCCATGTCTCTTCCAAGATGTATCTAGTTCTGGGTAGTTCCGGGGAGGGACCACTCACCTTCACCAAATCTGCGATCGCTTCAGCGCGCTCCTTCACCATGCACCGCATCTAGACCAGGCTGTTGTCTCCGATGATGACTTCAGAATCACCTCCCACAGAGAAACGGTTCAAGGCCATTCTTGGACGGGTCTGATCGCTCAGGATGTCTAGGCAAAAGAGACAGGATGCACACAACGACAAGCCAAGCACGGGAAGTGTGTATAGTATGTAGTATTGACCCTAGTTTTTGTAAAGGCTTCGTCGTCGTCGTCTTCTTCTTTCTTCTTTCTTCTTTCTTCTTTCTTCTTTCTTATTCTTCTTCTTGGCATGGAGAAGCGCATTCCACAAGGAGAAAACCGAGCCACGAAATACCCTAAAGCTATGTGCAAATGACCGCTTGACGTCTCTGCAACAAGATTAAGTACACCTATGTCTGCGAGTCAAGACCCATCAAAGGTGGACCCATATCTCAGTGCCTCTAATCTTTGATCTGGCCCAGTAGAAGAGGAAGTCCGAGAGAATCAGAATGTTCAAGGTCTCTGACGCCATCTGAATGCCTCGATTGTCCGGATAACGCCAATAGAAGACCCGAGGGTAGAAGATCCAAAAGGCAAGGGTGAACAAGCGATGCATGGCTGTGAGCACCACAAAATTCGCGAGCAAAGGCGAAACTCGCTTGTCTTGATGAAACATCCACAGCTGTGGAATCAATGCTACTGCCCCCATTGCTTCATAGTAGCAGCAGAAGTAGCTGACGAGGAAGCTGTGATTCGATCTCCGCACAGTGTACCACATCAAAGCAAGGACTGCCACCACACCATAGAGAAAAGAGGCTGCAACAAAGGGATTCGTCTTGAGGGGGCTATTCTTGCCTATGAGCTCAAACCTCTCAAAAATGTGAATGCCGAAATTGTCCTTCTCTTTCTCATAGCTGGGGTAGTAGTAAAAGCAAAATGACACCAGCAGCGCCACCCCCGCACAAGCACTCACTACATCCATGATTGGATAGATGAACCATGGGAAGACGTTCGGCGAGTAGTGCAACTGGATGTTGTGGCTGATGAGATGAATGACCCTCGCTCCAACTACCGTCGCTAAGGTCTGCAGGGACAGGCCAGCAGCAGATCTTCTCTTGCGCAGTTGGAGGAAAACCACCACAAAGGTTCCACAGATGCAGAGGTCTGAACCTGCTTGGCTGAATTGGTTAAGCAAAGAAAATCACGGAGAAGGCCTCACATGACCAAAAAAGAAAGCCTCCAAGCTCCCGACTCGATGTTTTTTCTTAAGAAAGGGTCCACACAGTGTCTTCTGAGTGTTGTGGGAGGTTTGATCAGCACTTGGCCACTTGGCCTAAGCAGAAGGAACTAGAAATAGCTACTCCCAAAATGTCTTGTCGTTGGAAGAGGTTTGGCCACCTATTCAAACCGCTCATGGAGACTGAGAACCTCTGAGCTGAGAAGCAATGAATCAACAGGTCCAAGCCCAGCTGACCAAAGCTCACCATGGCTTCGTGCTAGGACAGGGGCAACTAGGAGAGTGGCTGATGATGCTGATGCATGAGGACCCATGCCACTTCGGTAGCTATGAGGATATGTGGGGGACATGCCTGCATCGAGACTGCTGGAGATTCATAGTCTTGCTCTGGGTGACGTGAATCAGTTGGTCGTCTGCTTTGGTCATGCAATGTGGAAGCGCCTGGGAGCCTCACCTGTGGCTCGCTCGCATGAAAAACCATGGCCTGTCTTCTGCGTAGTCAAGTCTTCTTATAAATGTTACCTTGCCTCGTACATGTTCTTCTTCTGGGGTGTGACAGGCCCAATGGATGAATGCCTCAAATGTTGGAAGATTCAGACCAGTGCCCCGATCTGAAGAATCATAAAAAAGCCTCTGCTTTGCTCTCCCAGGATGCTCTCCTTTTCTCTCTCTCTCTCTCTCTCTCTCTCTTTCTCGGGCTTCGCGGCCGCATTGCCTCAGAGATCTTTTTTGCTCTACTCAGCGGTGCTTTTTCCAGCCCTTTAAGCTGGGAGATTCTAGATTTCAGCTGCGTAAGCTTGTAGAAACCATACGCTCGACGCGTCCATCGATCGCACGGCTCCCGGAGCCCCCTGTGGCATCAATCTCGCCCGGCCCGGGCGAGCATCGATCAAACCAGACTGCTGTAGTCGAGGATCACTTCCGAGTCACCTGTGGAGGCGTTGAACTAGTAGCATTCTTGCTACTAGGAACACAGGGCATCGCTACGAACGGAGCAAGGACGCTACTAGTAGCTCCTGGCATTACTAGTAATAGTAGCATTCGTGCTACCAGGCACAAGAAAAACGCGAAGCCATCTCTGCTCCGTGTGACGTTTTTGGACCAAGAGTTGAGGAAGAATGTTCCTGAAGCTCAACCTTCAAGATTCAAGCTGCGCCGCGCCCTAAAACACCCATATCACCTATTTCTCACAGACTGGAGGCCCATCAAAGGTGGACCCATATCTCAGTGCCTCTAATCTTTGATCTGGCCCAGTAGAAGAGGAAGTCCGAGAGAATCAGAATGTTCAAGGTCTCTGACGCCATCTGAATGCCTCGATTGTCCGGATAACGCCAATAGAAGACCCGAGGGTAGGAGATCCAAAAGGCAAGGGTGAACAAGCGATGCATGGCTGTGAGCACCACAAAATTCGCGAGCAAAGGCGAAACTCGCTTGTCTTGATGAAACATCCACAGCTGTGGAATCAATGCTACTGCCCCCATTGCTTCATAGTAGCAGCAGAAGTAGCTGACGAGGAAGCTCCGTTGAGACTTTCTAACTAAGAACCACATCACAGCCATCACTGCCACGACCGCATACAAAAACGATGCTGCCAGGAATGGGCTTGTCTTGAGGGGGCTGTTCTTGCCTATGAGCTCAAACCTCTCAAAAATGTGAATGCCGAAATTGTCCTTCTCTTTCTCATAGCTGGGGTAGTAGTACAAGCAAAATGACACAAGCAGCGCCACCCCCGCACAAGCACTCACTACATCCATCATTGGATAGATGAACCATGGGAAGACGTTCGGCGAGTAGTGCAACTGGATGTTGTGGCTGATGAGATGAATGACCCTCGCTCCAACTACCGTCGCCAAGGTCTGCAGGGACAGGCCAGCAGCAGATCTTCTCTTGCGCAGTTGGAGGAAAACCACCACAAAGGTTCCACAAAGGCAAAGATCCGAACACAAAATTAGCAGATCCAAGAAGACCTCCTCAGCTGCATTCAGTTGTACTTGTGTGATCAAGCAATGTTTGTTGATATGTACAATCAAGCACTTTGACCCCTGTATTCTTTGTGGATGACCTGGAGCCATGTTTGATTCTTCCCATGAGTGCTTTGAGTGTGGTGCTTTTCGCGTCATATGACTGTTGAGGGCAACTCGGCTCATTCCAACCGAGGCTCTCCCCACTGCATTGGCACCTATCACCAGATGCTCCCTGCCGCGCGGCCGGAGCAAAACCCCTGCCGCGCGGCCGCAACTGACCGCTGAGCCAACTCAGCTGTCGCGGCGGCTCAGCTGACTGTCGAACACCTCTTGGGTGCTCAGAGGTGTTCAGCAATGTAGACTTTTGATGTAAACAAAGAACTGTATGACTACATGAAGAGGCCTGAAGAGGTAAGAACAAACCAAATGGCGAGGTCGACCAATGAAGCAAGAGTCTACAATCCTATGCATCAGAAAATGCTTTTCAGTTGGAAGACCACGTTCGTAGCGCGGCCATGTGGGCTCTTCAAGGCCCAGGCCATGGGTTTCTTCGCCCTTTGTTTTCAGGAAATCCCTCCGACTTCGGATCGAATCGAGTCTCCCCACCGTCAGCGGCCATGGGCCACCCTTCGCTGCGCCTTTGCCCTGGGGCGGCGCACGGGAGAAATAGAAACTAGAACAAGAGGGGGGATACAACACCTCAAAAATGTAACTTCTTGACATATCTTAATGATATCCAGGCACTTGCGTGGAGCGCCATCTGCACAGGTAGTCACACAGTAGTGTCCATGCTGATTTGTTCTCTGCTTGCAAGCCTTGCCCTCAGACACAAAGTAGTTGAGAAGGCCTTAGACCTTACCCTCAGACCCTCAGGCCTTACGCTCAGACTACACAAGAATGAAGGTACAGTAGTTGAGAAAGTCTTACAAACTCGATGGTCCTACGATTGGCTCCCAGCATCCAAAGGCTACTGAACCTAGCAGCTTTCATGTCCAAAACTCAGCCACATCATCTCCAAGAGTCCCTCTCCTAATGCTGCAATAGGAGGAACCCAAAATTCCCTCCACGCGGAGATATATAAGTATCCTAGAACCCTTGTCCATACCCCTCGTCTTGCTAGGAAAAGGGTGGTTGGTGAGTCCTTCTCCACCTGGGCATCCCCAACGGGTGCTGGCGGCCGCACGGGCACCGGCCGTGGCGCCGGGGGCACCGGCGCGGTGGGTGGCTGGCCGGGGGCACCGGCGGACGCAGGACCAAGGGTGGAGTGGAGTGGAACGGGACCCCCTGCAAAATGGTTCGGATTGCCCTAAACTCTATACCAAGGCGCGTGGTTGATGGTGAGGAAAAAGCATGTAGATTTTCACGATTTAGAGTTGAGACGATGGCCCGACTGTGGCCATCTATGCAACTCTAGCCCCAAGTTTCCGTGGGGGTGGCTTTCGCCTGAAGAGGTGTTTCTTTGAACTCCAGCTTTACTTGCGGGATTAAGATCCTCCTTGAAACCAACTATACACACAACCACAGTTCGGTCAGCAACCACCTGCAGCAATCCTTCGACCCACGGTACTTCGCTGGTGTGGCGCAGAAGAGCCGCTCACCGCACCACCGCACCGCCGGACCGTGCACGGCACCGGCACCTGCATGAAGGCGCGCATCTGGGCTTGCGCCTGGTCCGGCAGAACCCCGGAACCGAGCGAAACCGAGCGAAAGCCCGGGTCCCTGTGCAGCACGGGACATCTGGTTTGCACCGGGCAGGAGTCACATGCAGACCCTGGGGTGGCTTTTCTTCTAAACAGGGGCTGTGGATGTGAGTGAGTGGCTGGGCACCCCGACGAACCTCCATGGAGTCCGCACCCCTTTCTTGGTGACTGCTGGCATGTGTTTTTTGGCATGTTCGTTGGCACTTGCCTCGACCATGTTTTTCCCCACGCCAAACATTTGGGGGGGGTGACCTGCTCAGGATGATAAGAGCTCGGTGAAGTTGAGCGGCGGAGATCTTCGTGCAACGAGTGCTGAGTGTGGTCGACGAGGTGCGCCGGCAAGTCGTTTGGGTTGGATCACGGAGTGGCCCGGGCAATCGCTCGAAAGCACAAGAGCACAAGTATTACCTGGTAAAAATGAATGCATGAAATCGCTGAAATCGTTGCCCAAAGATACTCCTGGAGAAGATTCAGCGGGCAGATCAATGCAAACGAGTGAGAGGACTCCGCAAGCCTGTCATCGTCCAGCAGCCAATGCACTTGAAGATCTTCAGAATCGATCTTCAAGGTCAATCTCCAGAGATCATGTAGGCTCTTGATCAGGGCTTCTCCCCCATTTGAAGTGAAAAGCCTCTTTCCTGTAGGGGTTGATGAATCAAGAGTCTACATCAATCAAGTCAAGGTCTCTCTTTTCTCGCGACTCCAGCGCCTGGAGTTGCGCTTGGAACTGCGCCTGCAGCATCTGCGCCTGGAACCCCGTGATCGATCGGGCGTGCCAAGGACCCCAGCGCCCACCCCAAAGGCATGCTCAAGTCCCTCTATCCCAATTCATGCACTGAGGTCCAGGAGGTCTGGGGCCAGGTCCTCATCCTGCTCATCCCGATCGTTCCTTCCAGGTCATCCCACCCGTCCACCTGCTGCGCTTGCTGCATCTGCGCCGCCTCTCCAGGCGTCGGAGAGGCAGAGAGGCTCTTGGAGAAGCGGGTTGACTTGACCAGCACCATGGAAAGGGTGCTGCTGGTCATGCTGGTCAAAAAAAACCTTGACTGTGCAGGTTCCATCCAAGAACCACTCTGAAAGGGTGGTGCTGGCACATGTTTTTCTAAAGACTTTCTCAATGTGAACCCTGCTGTTGGGCTCAAAGCACAAGTCCTCTGAACGAGAAACTAGTTGAAATGGTGAAACGGAGTGACTGCCAAAAGTCTGGAACAAAAGGATGCAAGGTGGTGATGGATCTGTCCTACCCACCAGGCGGGGGCGCATGTGGGAAACCTGGCCGCGGCATGAGCACTGACATAGGCACTGCGAAGGGCAAGGTTGCTGGCACATTTGGAATGCCACCTGGCATGTTTGCCACCCCTTGTGGTCCTTGTAGTGCCATGGGACTCACAAAGGGCCGTGCTGGCTGCGAGGGCATCATTGGGGGTGGGTATGTTGGAGGCCCCGGAGGCCGAGCTGGTAACGCCGGGGGCGGGGTGGGCGGCGGTGGAGGCGGCGCATCCCAATGGTTCCAGTACCACGCACTGCGGCCCCTCCGCTGCGACCAAGGTTCAGGATCCCACCGGCTACGGTGTAAATGTCGCACA